GTTTCGCCTCTTCCATGTGTATTTATTTACCAGTTTAACTGCCTTTGAGGAGGAACTACTTACATAGAGCGTACGATCAGGTAAGTTCATTGTCGTCGAATCTCTGAACACCTGCCATCTTGGTTTGGCAAAGATGCGAATAAAGCTGCTGTAAACACCTCAGTACCAGTTCATCGTGTCGATAGTGACTGGACATTAAATCGACTGTAACGTAAGCTTTTAAAGTTATTAACCGTTGTATATCATACAACCCAACTTGCATGGTCTACGAATACGACTTTTACATACACACAGCAGAGGCAATCGGAATTCATCTGAACAAGCCAAATCTGTGTGTGTCAGTTCAAAAGAAATTTGTACAGGCCCTTTCTTTGCCATGACCAACTATATAATATGCATTAAGTTTTTGAAAAACGAGTTTTTTGCCCCCCCCTTTATGAATAAGTATTTATTTCATGAATAATCCTCATCCAGGCAATAATGGAAACAAAACACGTAGATCAGCGAAGAGTCAGTCTCTTTTCGGCGGCGAATTCACTTTCCACCTTAGCTGTACAATCGCAAATATATATGCGTGTTATTTTGTATGTATGTGTACATTAAGTTTGTCAAAGAAAATTACAATTGGTGAAGGTTACTTTTAACTAAACAAGTGAAGGTTGATATAAGAATAAAACTTGTGCACTGTGGTAGAGTGTAATTCCATTATGGGTAAATTTTGTTTTGATAAAGTCTCACAGTGTTATACAGTAATGTTTACTGATGACCAAGTTTCGAGCACAATTTATTGCTCATAATCATATCAAGGTAATCACAGGACTTCCTAAATTCATTTATACAGTTCCATTATTTTTCACTTGATTTGATTGGCAGTAGTATTTTCCATATTTCAGGTATGAGTGACGAGTCATTCCTATTGCATGTATTGGGTGTAGACTCGATGAACAAGGATTCAGTAATCAACCTCTCTCTCCACCTACCTAGATTACTTTTTAGAATTTTAACCCTCTCCCACCCTATTGTGTGGTTGTGTGTTAGCGCATGCATTGGAATTGCTGAGCTTTTTTCTAAATTACTTATCTTCTCGGGTGGGGTCAACCATTCTTACCTTAGCTAAATTCTTATGCTCTGACAATCTGACTACCCCTGACCTACTAGTTTGACCTATGTAGTTGACCTCGCTCGCAGTCATTGTAGGGTATTTTGTAAATAATATTATTTTGTCTAATTGGGTCACCTGGGTCCTTTAACCTACAGAGCTTGTCCCTGAGTGAGTTTGTAGGTTTGAATGCCACCCTAATTCCTACTTTATTAAGAATCCTACTTAGAGTCTCAGATGTTCCCTCCATATATGGTATGAAAGTAGATGACTTATATTCTTTCTTATTTATGTTATTATTACTAGTTTCACAATTATTTTTATTTTGTTTTTGGCATTTAATGATCCTTCTAATGAATTTTATAGGATAGTTATTCAACAGGTGAAGGTTGGTAATACAAGTCAAGAAAATTAAGTGTTACTGAAACTAGGGTAGTAAAAAAGGTGATGAGTTGTCACGAACAGTTGTTAAAAAAGAAGTTATGTAATAATAGTATGAATAGTTTGTTGATTGAGTTTTACTCAGGATGCATGTAGGAACAAAGTAGATAATACGAAGTTATATAAAAGATCTAAATGAATACAAGGATTATAAGCAACTAAAGAACAGGCAAAGAAACAAAATTATGTCATCAAAATAAAAAAAACAAAAAACTCAAATAAAATCAAAAAATTGTTACCATGACAGTAGAAGTGGTTGAGTAATTCTCTTTTGTATGCACAGCTCCGGTTTTTCTATGTGAATGGCCAGAGCTTCAGCGATAAATAGAAGACGAAAACGTATTGCCTTTGATAGGTTATTCTTGACTCTGTAGATTACTTTGAAGCAGGAGGCGCTTGTTGAGATAGAATGATCAGTGTGTTAACCAGGTGTTCAATTATCGCACTTCTTATAGCACCACCACTATTGCCTTTTCCCAACTATCCTGGATAGTGTTCTTGAATCCTCTTAGACAGGGTGCGCGTCGAACGACCGATGTACATGGATCCAAAGCAGCAGGTGAATTGACTGATATATACACACAGAAGTGGTCAGAAGGGGGATCTTGTCCTTGAGGCTTCTACAGATCAGTGGGCGACTAGAGAACACTATTCTTAGCGTTGCTGCAAAGAATGTTCTTCTCAGAGATGATATAATCCTTCTCTTGAATATATCGTTTGCTAAATCTCCCTTGAAATCCAAGTTCAGGTTTTTATTTTGATAAATCACACAATGGTGTTATACAGTAATATTAACTGATGACGTTTCGAGCACAAACTATTACCACTCATAATCATGTGATTATACTCTACCACAGTGCCCAAGTTTTATACTTTAATTTTTCCCCTCCCCTTGTAACCAACCGTCTTTTGACTTTGTTAATTTTTAAAATTCTAGCTAATTCTACTAACTTTTGTGTATTCCACGTAACTCTCTTCTGAGTCATCCTATTCTTCTTAGTCATCAGTGCTACTTTACATATTTCTTGATTATGTAATAACTTGTTGCCAACACGCCACCTAAGAATCAACTTATCTTGAATTCCGTAATTAATTGATTTTCACCCCTCTTTTCAAATTTAGATATCTTGTTACTAATATCTATTAGTCAGTTGTTTTGATGACCTTTAATCTCTTAGTTTCACCCTCGCCTATATCTAAAACTGATGAATTAAAATAACCACTTGAGTGGAAAAATTTTAATGTAAAAAACCACTATATATTAGTGTAGAGCCATGCAATGATGAGGAACTAACTGAAGTGAAGGAACGCATACTTTTACTTACAATCTGTTGTTTTTTCTAAACTATTATTATTATTTCCTTTAATTCTTAGAGGAGCATAGGGCTTCAGCCGCGCGTCTCCATTGCGTTCGGTTCTCTGCTAAAGTTTTCACCTGGCTCCGCTTTTCCCCACATGCTTTCATCTCCTCTTCACATCGCTCCCTCCTCCTCCGAGTCACCCTTGCACTGACGACCAACTCACCGCTTCCCTTTCAGGTTCCATCCGAGGGCTCATCTAGTGATGTCACTTGGTGGTTTGCTCAGAGTATGGCCAGCCAATCCATCTCCATTTCTTCCTGCATATTTGTTTCACAATCGTTTCCTAGTTGATTTGCTCCCAGAAATCTCTGTTGCTGATCTTTTCTGGCCGGCCATCTCATCTTGAGCGAATGCAGATGTTGATGAATGTCTGTAGTTTGTTACAGGTGCTCTTTATGACGAGGCGCCAAGTCACTGATTCATATAGTAAGTAGCACTGACTGACTTCACATTGGAGTTGAAAATCCCGATCTTATTTTCATTTTCATGTTGAGTGCTGTTGACCTCCACACAGACTTGAGAGTAATGAAGGCTTGTCTTGCTTCCCGATCCTTGCTTTGATATCCTCATCAGTTACGTCCGTCTGTAGTTGAGACGATGCTTCCCAGGTAGGTGGAGGAGGTTTCTTCTTTCAGGTTCCTCCCGTTTATGTTAACTGTTGTCGGTTGTTGTTGTTGCTATTGCTGCTCGTGTTGTCCAAGGATCTTCATCACTCCTGTTTTCTCTATTTTCACCTGAAGTGATGTCCTATATTTGATCCTTCTTCCTCTGCCAACTTGTTACTTTTCACTTGCATATCTTCCAGTTTGTGGTAAATCAGACATGTGTCACATTGGCAAAGTCCAGATCCTCCAAGTTTTTTGTGTGGGTCCATTTTATGCCTGACTCCTCTTTGCCCGACGTTGTCTGCTGCATTACCCACTCTACTGTTTTCAATCAGAAAAATCATTGGAGATAGTAGCCAGCTTGTCTTACTCCCATCTTCACTTCGAGGAATTCCGTGAGTTTCCCTTTTTGGATTACTTGGCATGCAGCATTGTCGTAAAACTGTCGTATGAGGTGTATAATTGCTGGCAGCACCCCCTAGTAGCGAATTAGTTGCCAAATCACTTCTCGATTGACGCTGTCTTCTGGAGGCTTTTTCAAAGTCGACGAAGTTTAGTGAGGTAGGAAGCTGACTGTCATCCCAAGCTCTGTTCAACGATGATCCGTAGTGTGGCGATTTGATCAATACATGACTTGTTTCTCCTGAATCCAGCTTGTTCCGGTCGAAGTTTTCCATCTAGGGCTTGTTTGATTCTCTTCAGGATGATGCGGCTTAGTATTTTGCTTGGGGTGGACAGAAGCATAATTCCGCACCAGTTCTTGCATTGACTTAAGTCTCCTTTCTTTGGTAGTTTGAATAAGTATCCTTTCTTCCAATCCTCTGGTACTTTCCCCTCTTTTGCACACCTTCTGCAGCAATGGCTTCATCAAGTCCGCTGTTGTCTCTGGGTCCATTTTCAATGTTTCTACTAGGATTCCATCTGGTCCTGCTGCTTTCCCAGCTTTCAGCATCTTGATTGCCTTCAGGACTTCTGTTCTCGTTGGGGGGTTGATGTTCACCGGTAGTTCTGCTTCCGTTGTCGGTATTGTTGGGCTCGTTGTAGGTGTTGGTCGATTTAGAAGTCTCTTGAAGTGCTCAGCCCAGTGTTTCCTTTGCTCCACTTCTTTGGTGATTGACTTTCCATTGTCATCTTTCAATGGCTTGATTTATGTCAAACTTTTGTTCGAAATGTACCTAGTTGTTTTGTAGAGCGTTGAGACGTCTCCTTTGCTTTTTCTAAATTGCTAATTATAATCTTATGTATTACCAGTTCGCTTTATTAAATAGATTCGCCTCTTTAAGACAAGTTTAAATGGGCGTACCACTGATTATCTGGGCCTGAGACGGGCTTGAAGCGTCTCTAATCTGATTAGCAGGAGATGCTGTTTCACCTGAATGACTCTCAACTACTCAAATAAATCAGTTAGTAGTATATAGTATCACTTAGTACATAAATCTCAGTTAGCTAGTAATTTAATATATTATTCATTGATTTCCTCTCTTACTTTTAAAGGTCAAAGTAATTGTCTGCGTAAATCAAACATGCAATAATAGTAGTAGCAGTCAAGGCTTGGCAATGGTAGCGTCTACAGCACTGAAAACAGTTGGTGGCCTACTGCCAACTAATCATCCATTGAGTACAATTCATCCAAAAGTCGACAGAAATTCCCTCTCTCCGCCTACTTCTTCTTCACCGTCATCATCATTGCCAACTAACTGTGTAGAAATTGATCAATATCATAAGACAATCACATTACTGGATCCAACACCATCACGTCGAAGAAACGGTGGACATTCAAAAATGTATAAATTTGATGATATTATAACACAGGATACATTGAAAGTTAGTTCCTTTCCTTTTATCATATGTATATATATATATTAATTTTTGTTTGAAATTTGAATGTTTTTATCGCGCGCCATCTCTTTCAATAATCAATAAAGTATTGATTGGCTGTGTTGTCATCAAACTGAAATCTACCAGTCAGAGAACCTAAATGTATGCAATTCTTTGAGTTTCGGTGACATCATAAATGTATCGTTCGTGAGGTCGAAATCTTTAGCAGTCTTATCATCTATTTAACGTTTGTCTGTTTTTCTTAGTTTCTCATTACCTGTGATACATGACTCCGTCCACAACAATCAGGAATGTCATTGGTGGGAGTAGGCAGACAGTCCTGTCTTACTCCTATTGTAACGAGAGAAGGCAAGAGTCAGGCAACAGATCATCTATATGTTAACTTTATCCACCTACGCAAAGCCTTTGTTCTCATTTTTCTCAAGACCAATATTGCGGACGTAAACATTGACGTAAATTACTGTCCACCAATTTTGACTAACAGCCAGCTCTCAACACACTCGTCCACTCGTCAAAGACTTGCGACTGAATCTGGTTCGGTCTTCTTGGTTCTAGGGGCTTTGCTCGTTTGTCTCTCTGTCTGGAATCTCGGCACTCGCTGATGTTCACCTGTCTCTTTTTGTTTACTATTGCGATTGTGTCTGCGTAACCCCATCTCAAAGTGACCATATGCGGTCCTTCCCACTTTGGAAACTGTTTGCCCGACCCTGTCGCACATTCATCAGTATTTTGCCTAACGCTTTCATATCCTGCTTTCTCCAGACCTCCCAAGAAGAAGCCTCATCGCTGACAGCTCTTGAACGCCACTCAATTGCGAAGAAGCCTCCATGTACTGTCCAAAGATCCATATGTCTCCATCAAAAACTGCAGGGTATTGACTTTCCATTTGTCGGTAGGCAGCGACACCAAACGTAACAACAGAAGACATAGGCCAGGTGACAGATCATCAGTATGTTAACTGTATCCGCCTACGCAAAGCCTTTGTTTTCATTTTTCTCACAATTAATATCGGGGACATAAACATTCACGTGAATTACTGTCCAGAAATTTGACTAATAGGCAGCTCTCACCACACTATATTCACTTCAAACGCCTCGCTTAGCTTCCCAGTGTGGATCACCTGACACGTGGCCTCATTGTCATTTAGCCAGCTAGCTGCTGAATGAGGTTGATAAAGATGTGGGCCATACACTCCATAGTGTAGAGAAAGTTTCCAGATTAATTCACAGTCAGTGGTGTCGAAGGCTTTTTCAAAATTGATCAAGTTGAGATGGAGATTTGACTTCCACTGTAAGCTCTGTTCGATGATGATGGATGATGCATAGTGTTGCATTTTGATTCGCACATGATTCATTCTTACCGAATCCATCTTGTCTCGGACAGAGTTTTCTATTCAAAGTTTCTTTTAGTCTCTCTCTATCTCCAGGAGGATACAAATCAATATCTGGGAGATAGATTTGATGTCAGAGAAGGCAGATGATTCAGCGTTGTGGAGAGACACATGGAAGATAACGTGAAAGGAATACAAAGAAATACAATATGAAAGAGGAAGGCCTGGAGTAGCACAATAACACGGAAGATCTGTACAAATGGTGCGGCGTTGAAGATAAGATGTACAATATTTGGCTATATAGATATTCCACTACATGCCCAGACATCGTCGAAGCATCTGCACAAGAAGCTGAGAGACATGTCAACCTGAGACCGAGCACTTTGGTCCAATCAATCGACAGGAAAATCTGAAATTCGATTTAATAATTCCTTTTTTTTATAGTTAGTTTGTAAGGGTTAATTTTGTGTTTAGGAGTCGATCACGGATTGATATCAGTTAGAGAACCAATAAAATTAATCTGATGCTCGCTAGTGACCACTGACTACAGGATTGAGTTTCCTAGAGTGCCAGTGAGAAGTCGTGACCAGTGAGGTTTACCCAGATGTCACGTGTGAGGATGGATGTCCCACCGATGACATTGGTTGGGGTCGCGCTAAATGTATCACGAATTGGTGGAATTTAGAATTCATGAGATGGCCATTGAATCGGGTCCCTGTGGCTGAATGGTATACGAGCTAGCTTACCTTATGACTGGAAGGTCATGGGTTCGAACCCTGGCAGTGGGGTGCGTACTGCCGATGATTCCCAAACTAGGCTGATGAAACAACTGGCTATCCAGTACTCCATTACTGGTGTTCAATGGTTCTCCAACTGATATCAATCCGTGATCAACTTCTAAAAACATCCCTTTACCAAGTTTCTCGTCTTCTGCCGTTTCAGTGTGAGTAGTTTTATACCATATGTTCTGTCGTCCACCTACCCTTTATTTAATCAATTAATTAGATTTTTTTGTCAACTACAGCCTGAATTATGCTCTATCGTTCTCAAAGATGCAATAGCGTCTGTACTCAATGGAAAGGATAGTTGTATACTGACTATAGGGCATAAAGCTACTGGTAAGTAAATAACTTTTGTTCTTCGTCTTTTTTCTCCAATATAGTTACTTTTTTTACTTTCTAAACAAATTAATCGATATTTAATTGGTGGAATCCAGGATCCGCATTTCGTCTTATTCGGGACTCGTGGTCATCTGGATGTACCTGCATTTCTCAGTGAGTGATGATGTTCCCACCGAAGCTCGAACCCAGTGTGCCTATAGTTTCAATCGCTAAAGCCTTATCCACTAGATCACTGCTAGTCACCACTCATCAATTAAATTGACAGAAGTTAGAATTCATGGGCTGGCCATTGGATCGGGTCCCAGTGGCTTAATGGCCTACGAGCTAGCCTTGTAACCAGAAGGTCCTGGGTTCGAACCCCGGTGAGTGCGTACTGATGAAGAGTCCCAAGCTAGGACGAAACAGCTGCCCAGTACTCCTAGTGCTGGTTTTCCAATGGTACTCTAACCAATGTCAGGTCATGATGAAATCCTGTAACCAATTTAATACCAATTAAATGCCCAGACATCGTCGGAGCATCTGCACAAGAAACCGACATGTCAACCTGTAACCGAGTACTTCGATCCAATCAATCGACGGGAAAATCTAAAAAATTCAATTAAATTAATCAATACTTCTAAAGATTCATGAATAATCCTCATGGAGGCATTAGTGATGAAAATAAAACACGTAGTTCATCGAAGAGTCTCTTTTCGGCGGCGAATGCATTTTCCTCTGTAGCTGTACAATCGTAAATATATATGTATATAGGTTATTTGGTCAAGTTAAACTTTAAGCACCGCTAACTAACTAACTACCAATGGAGTGTGATCGGACCGGTGACTTTGAAACTTTTCACTGAGCAAGTTATTCAAACCTGACAAGTAATACGGTCATCATCAACAAAATATGCTCATCGAAGTGTTATGTTATCTATTAAATGGGATATCTGGCAAGTTTCAGCTTAGGTTTGGAAAAGATTAAGTTATTCTTTGTGCCAAGGATAAATTAGGATTAATTAGATTAACCTAATAAAGGCGACATTAGGGTTAGTTTAGGCATATTTTCACTTCAGGGTTATGTTCAGGAAAGATTAGGGTTATTGTTAGGGCTAGAAGAGGTAAATAAATACATGCACATAGAATGTGGTCAAATTACTCTGTTGATATAAGAATAGAACCTGTGCACGATGGTAGAGTATAAATTTATTTTGATAAAGTCTCACAGTGTTATACAGTAGTAATATTTACTGATGACGACGTTTCGAGCACAATTTACTGTTCAGGAAATTTTACTGAGACTTAATAATAATAATAATTTGCTTTATTCCAGAAATAGTACCTGGTGGTACAGTGTGAAATTTTCAGCACATATCTACAATGTTCCATCTAATCTCATCGCACATTTAAAAGGAGTATTACAAAAAAATAATAAATATAAAAACAACAACAACAAAAACTAAAAAGGGGACACAAAAATAACAGCAGAAAAAATGCAAATAAAAATACCAAGTAGAAAGGAAAATAAACACCAATAATGAAAAATATTTCAGTATTGGGTAGTGGAAGCTACGATATGTGTATGCGTGGTGAACAGTAACAGCTATAATCATACAAGAAGTTGTGAAATGTTCTCAAGAATGTTTATAGCCAAGATGATCAGTTAGTTTGATTGAAACTGCACTAAGCAATCATAAAATAAACATTTCAGGTTGTGTTTTTTTATTGTCAGCACTAATGCGGTGTTTGTAGTGGTAGTGTGAGTAATCCTGCATAATACAAAGATTTTAAGATGGTGATAACGACATTCATAAACAAGATTGTCAGTTTAATATTGCCGAACAAAAAAAAGACAATCACAAAACTAATATTACATGATGATTAATGACAGGACAATTTTGTAATACTCGTAGTGATAATATAGCCTTGGGAACCAGTAGATACACAAAAGAAGGAATAGAATAAAGAAGTAAGCCAATGAAATCCTTCTGCAACCAATGAAACTAAATCCCTACAAAACCAATACTTGAAAACTAAATAATTGTTTATTTAAATCATGTAACTGTGATCCATGTAGTGCATTTTATCATAATTTTATATCCCTGTATGTGTTAAGAGAGTATCTAGCTGAGGAATTTTTTTTTCATTAAATTTGATGACTTTTTCTCTTCTGCTAAAGGTAAAACTCATTCAATGCTTGGTTATGATTACTGCTCAACGGAATGTGGTATTATCCCATATGCTATAAGTTGGTTATATCAATTATTGAATTATCAAAAATATTATTGTAATACACGATTTTCTATACGCATATCAGCTGTTGAAATCTTTGGACTGAATGAAGAATTTCGTGATCTACTGGCAAATACAGCTGCATCGTGTAAGTTTAGCTAATAGTACATTAGTCTGGTTTTATAACTTAAAATCTGGGAATCATCACCATGGCTAGGTCAGGCTAGTTGGGTGTCCTTGGGTACATATCTGGTCGTCTAGTTTGCTAATGGTTATTAACACTTGGAGAGAGGGAAATATGTATGAGAGGCTAGCAGCTTCACCCTGTAAAGGAAAACAACCTCACCACTATCGGCTTGAAATGAAGTCTGGCCCACACGTTAAGTTCGTGACCAACCTGCTCCTGAACCCACCCACCTCCCTCCCGAACTCATGATGTCAGAACATTACACTTCTATCTGTAATAGGATGTATTAAGGTGGGTGAAGTACTATACGTATATAGAAATACACAACTACGCCACAACTCAGACACCACGCTCTGTTTTCTTCAAGACTCCAATGTCGTGGAATGGAACAGAGCGTCAGATTTGCTTGACATTAGAGCTGGAAAAATATTTCGCATTTCAACATACTAAACTTTCAGTTGTTTTATAGTTTTTATCCGAAGTATATATATATATTGTTTTGCCTTGTCTGTTTTACGCAACCCTTTAAAACATTTTTGTAAGAGTTAATCGCACTACTTAATCAATAGTCAGTAGTATAAATTAAAATTTAAAAGTATTTTGTGAAAATGTTCTGTGGGAGTGATAAGTGCATTTCACTGAGGAAACCATGATTTAATTCTTTAGGGCTCACATGATTAGGTAAAGTTTATTTCAGTTTGGAATTCTACCATAGTCTGAAACTCCTTTCTATCTGCACATATTCCTCTTTTGTGCACTTTTTTAGTGGCTCACTTACCTTCGGGATACTTTTCAAATGGATAGTTAACCACCTTGCTTGTCATCTGATGACTACCACACACATTCCTGTTACTCAAAAATAAACTGCTACATGTTTCGTAAATTTAGATTGGATAATGCGACAGACGGACAGTGGTGGGCAATGAGGAGACAGGAATAAAATGGACCCACACAAAAAACTTCGAGGATCTGGACATCGCCGATGATATATGTCTGATTTCACACAAACTGGAAGATATGCAAATCAAAAGCAACGAGTTGACAGAGGAAGAATCATCATAGATAGGACTCTACTTCAGGTGAACATAGCGAAAACAGAGGTAGGTGATGAAGATTCCTGGCCGCCAACAACAACAGCAACAGACAACAATCAGTCAGCATAAATGGGAGGAACCTGAAAAAAAACAACCTCCTTTACCTACCCACCTACCTGGGAAGCATCGTCTCAACTACAGACGGACGTAACTGACGTAGATATCAAAGCAGTGAGGATCGGGGAAGCAAGACAAGCTTTCATTGCTCTCAAGTCTGTGTGGAGGTCAACAGCACTCAACATGAAAATGAAAATAAGATCGGGATTTTCAACTCCAATGTGAAGTCAGTCAGTGCTACTTACTATACGGATCAGAGACTTGGCGCCTCGTCATAAAGAGCACCTGTAACAAACTACAGACATTCATCAACAGCTGTCTTCGCCGAATACTACTGAAGATCAGATGGCCGGCCAGAAAAGATCAGTAAAAAGGATCTCTGGAAGTGAGCGAACCAACCAACCAGGAACCGATTGTGCAAGAAATATGCAGGAAGAAATGGAGATGGATTGGCTGGCGATACTCTGAGGAAACCATCAAGTGAGCGACATCACTAGACAAGCCATCGCTCGAGTGGAACCCAACCGAAAGGAAAGCGGCTAGTCGGTCGTCAGTTTGAGGGTGACATGGAGGAGGTCATGTGAAGAGGAGATGAAAGCATGTGGGCAGACTTGGGGCCAGGTAAAAACTCTAGCAGATAACCGAACGCAATGGAGACATTTGGCTGAATCTCTGTGTTCTTTTAGGAACTAAATGAAATAATAATAATGCATGTTTTGGAATAGATAGAAATGCGACTGTACATCCAGTGATATAAGAAACATGTTCTTCGGTGACTTGAACCTTCATCACCACTTTCTATGCAGCTGGTCATACTGAACAGTACCACCCAGCTTCACAAACCTCAATATGCTAGGCAATCTTCAAAATTTGAGTCAACCTGATCTGTAGCATGATTGCTCACAATGCATGTCATCGGCTGTCACAAGAAAGCAAGGATCAGTGTATGATGCCATGGACTACTGACCCCCTACCATAAGTACTTGTATCCTACTCACACCAATTCGTTGTCTTTCCTTGATAAATAGTAGTGATCTAAACACAAGGAGTCAGTGTCCCTCATCTTTAAGCAGAACTTACCGTCGGTGTACCAGTTTGACTCTGGAACTCCATAGTTAGCATTTTCAGTTCGCCATGAGTCGCATAGTTCAAATTAATTCACCTTTCTGAGATGAGTCACTGATGAATTCAACTCGTCAAAAGATTAGACCACCTCGGGCCACTACTGGATGGTGTATGAGAGTGGCATCTAACTACTTATAACAATCAATCAGTAATATATGTATCGTATCATGCATTTTCTAAAAATCTCTTTCTACATTTCAGGTGATGAAGAATACTCAGATCAATCACCAAGTCATTATTTACAGACACCTACAGATCAAAATAAACCTTCTTCGTGTGATAAAAAGTCTTCAGGAACTGCTTCTACTAATACTACTACACCAAATACAAAATATTATGATAAAAGTCAATCGATATCAGCTAAAATGATTGATAGGCTATCACATTTGTGTGAATTACGTGCATCAAGCGCTGAAAAAGCAGCTTACCTATTGGACACTGCCTTGTCGAATCGTTCAGTGCATACATGTGACCAATTGTCTGGCCTGTCACATATGCTATTCACAATCCATTTATATCAATGTAAATTAGAGAATAATCATGATGAAATGACAAGTAAGCTGGTGACCCAATATTTTTTCGTGTTTGACCTTTGCCTACTTATGAGTAGTTTGACTTCAACATAAAAATATATGTGAGAGAGAAGCATTTGAAAACCTGGGAGTACTAGACTACTCTTTCCACCGTCCTAGTGCTTGAGACTCTTCATCAGTATGCACCCGACTCCATGGTTCCACCCTGGGATTTTCCGGTTATGAGGTGAGCATAAATTCATTGGGTCCCGACCCAATGGTTCACGAATTCCAACGTCTGCCAGTTCGTGATACAAACGTTTGGCGCAACCGCCGGTCAGTGTCATCGGTCACCAGCTATCCCCTTGTCTAATTTAGTGGACTCCACTATCTGTGATGACTACTCAATAGAACTGCACATACTTCCTATACAGGGCCAGTTGCTAGTGAGCATCGGACTAATTATTAGCTGTTGGTTCGGGGAGATTTGATTTAGTCACAGGAGTGACCACTAATAGACATCAGTTAGAGAGAGAGAGAGAACCACTGACAAAGCTGTGAGTACTAGATGGCTGTTTCATCCTAGTTTGAGCTCGAACCTTGGTGGGTGCGTACTGATAAACAGCCCCAAACTGGGATAAAACAGCTGTTCAGTAGTCCCAGTTGGTTTTCCAGTGGTCTTCTAATCAGTGTCACCTTACGATCACTCCTGTAGCCAATCTAATCGCCTCAAGTCAACACCTAATAATACATCTCTGGGTTAGTTTCCAGGCAACGGATAGGTTTGATTACGGATTTCTATCAGTTGGAGATCCTCTGGAAGTCGGTAGGGAGTACCAGACAGCTTTTTTGCCCTGGTTGGGGATTCCTCAGTAGTACCCCATAGGAGACTGAATCCAGGATCTTTAGATTACTAGGGAGGTTCACTGACCATTGAACTGCTAGGAGGGAATCGAATGGTCTATGAATCCTAATCCACTACTCTTAGCTCCACCACAATCTATATGTTTATGCATACATATATTCCATATTGAAGTGCATAAAATGGCTCACTGGTACACTAGTTAATTCTAACCTCTCGTGTGGAACACCAATTGGTAACAACGAACTGGGAATAAACCCGTAGGTAACATGGAAGAAGATTGTCTGAGGAGGAAATCAAGCCCTATGTTCCACTAGGAATCTAGGGTGATAATAATGGTAGTGGTGAGGGCTATGACACCTTATCAGTCTTTAGGTAACTATCATTCCCGATGTATGTCTGAATGGAAGCCAAAATGAACCTTGAACGTCTGTCTGTCTGTCTGTTTTCGACATAGAACTTTGCACAAATGTGCGGAAGTTCAAGTCGCCACACTCCGTGTAGCACACAAAGCAAGAGAAGAAAGTACAAGAAAAGCATAATAAAAACAGTGAGCAGAGGTGTGAGACAATGGAGTAATAAAGAAAAACAAAACAGTTTCATTGGAGATCATTAGTCACAAGGAGTGGATGCATCTGCACCAGCCACTGAGAACGATTTTGAGCCATGTCACCAATTGTTTCCAACCATAGATTTTTACCGTCCCGAGGACCCCAGCCTGGAAGTCTACACCTTCCTACGTGGCTTAGACCAACTGTTGTGGATTTCATTGACTGGTGAGGCCAAGTTTTTGTTTGACCGCCGCTAGCTTTTTTCCAGCCTGACCCTATATCCGCTAACATTGCTCGTCGAGGGAGGCGATGGCTTGGCATACGTAACACATGTCCTAACCATCTCAGTCTTTGTAGCTTCACGACTTCGTCGATTGATTTCCCCTGTTTACCTAGAACTCTACGCCTAACCTCCATGTTGCTCACCTTATTATGCCACTTTACACGGGAAACCTTGAACGTTCTCATTATTTTTCTCGGTAATAAGTTCTGATTTGTGTGTGTGTGTGTGTGTGAGGTGATTCAGTGGTTAAAATCTACCCTTGTCCCCCTTTTATTTAATTTAATTCACCATTTTCTGCAATATATAACTCCACTTAATTAGTCTTCTCATCTTGTTACGTAATGTTTTCGGGATAGTGGATTACTGCCCAATGAGCGAGTTGACTGAACAAGCTATCCTCGTTGTCTAGACCTCTTGGCTTAGACCCCTCTCAGTAAGATAATGGGTGTATGTCCATTCAGAGTGATAAAATCGGATTGAAACCGCCCTCCAGTACACCCTAGCCGGTTTCCAAAGAAAGTCTACTCAACTGACGTGGTAGTTTGTGACAAAAAATTAACATTTTTATCAATTTCTTTTCATCACTATTATCTAGTTTCTGGAGGTCGAACAAAACTGCATTTCCTTGATTTGGGTTGTGGAAGATATGGACAACATTTGATCAGTTTAAACAAGCGTCATTCAAATTCATCATCATCCTTGCCTTCTGCAGCAACAATGGCGGAAGCAGTAGGATCTCCACCTGTATCATCACCATCACCATCATCGTCATCGTCTCCTGGTCAAAATGCTGAAAATTGTACGACATCAAAGGCTCTCTCCCTCTCTGGTATCGGTTGTGTTCTCTTGGCTTTGTTAACTGGTAGACGACAGTTACCATTCAATGATTCCTCACTGACATATTTATTACGTGAAGCAGTTAGCGGGAATCAAATACAACCGTGTATTTTAGCTCATATATCTAGTAATGTACAGTATTATACTGAAACGTTACAAGTGAGTTTTTTTTAAAAATTTAATTATGCTTTTGAGTGTGTTTTTTAATTTGCACTTTTATTTGATTGCTGTTTAACCGATCTAGGGTGATAACGAAACGTTTTAGTTTGTGTTTCATATCTCTACTTATACCATCAAACATTTATGATGTAAAGACATAATCATAAGTAGTATAAATTATTATTGTTTATTTATTTGACTCCTTTACTTTCCCAGTGGAACATAGGGCTTGACAGCTTGATCTGTAAAGTTTCGGTAGCCAAAACCTTCCTTCTTTACTAGTCTTATTACCGACTTAGCGAGGTTTAGAGGTACATTAGCTGAGGATCGAACACCGGACCACTTGAGATGTGGTCGGTGAGTATTCTACCATGCTGACACACAGACGGAGTATAATTATAGTTTTTATATATTTTAGTCAGTCTTCTTTTTCCCGTCAACTGATTGGATCAAAATGTTCAGCATCTGCCGACATACCGCCTCACTCTTATTGCGGATGCTGCAATGACGTCTAAGGATTAACATGGTGACTAACGAAGGAATCTAGTCAACACTCATTTCGTCATATATATATATATATATATAGGCCTCGTCAGTTAGTAGATGTATCTATAATTCCTAGTGGGACTTGAATCTAGGTTAGGCCTTTGAAACAATGAGTGAGGGTTTGAGACTTAGTGGGAATGCCATAACTCACTCACTTACTCACTGATCGGGGAATGTAGGCACGTCCGCCGGTGGATGAGTCCCAAACAGGATGAAATGCGCATGGAACGGATTTCTCTGCTAGTCTCCATGTATCAAATAGTACAATAATAATTATTACTGTTCCCTTGAGTTCCTAGTGGAACATAGGGCTTCAACTGCACGTCTCCACTTGCCACTTCTGTCTTCCTTCTGCTGTACTTTTCAGCTCCATCCATGTTAGTCCATACTGACTGTTTCAATTCTTCTTCACACCATCTCCTCAATGTCACCCTTGCACTGACGTCCCACTTGACGCATGCTTCCCTTTCGGCCTGGTTCCACTCGAGCAATGGCCTGACGCGCGCACGATATCACCCAGCCGCCTCCTCAGCCACGAGTGTCCAATCCATCTCCATCCACTTTCTCCTGCATATTTGTTGGTTGGCGATTGGTTCTTGTTTTGTTTGTTTGTTCCCATAGTTTCCCATAGTTGGTGATTCTTTCCGGCCCGCCCGGCCGTCTTATCTTCAGTATAGAGCCAGCGAAGACAGTTGTTGGTTGATAAAGGTAACGTCTGCAATAGCCTGTTGGAAATATTCTTTGTGACCCACCCAGCAAGTTTCTGATCCGTTCCGTATAGAAGAACTGACTTGACGTTGTTTGTATTGAAAATCCGACAGGATTTTGTTGTTGATGGTGGCTGAGTGACGAATAATTCTAGATTGGTTTCAGTTGGTTGATGAATATATGTTTCTCGCCCGCCTTCCCGGTTCTCGCTCGATTTGACATCCTCGTCCGTTCCGACTTCCTGTAGTTGAGACAATGCTCCCTAGATAAGTGAGTGAATGAAGTAACCTCTTTCATCAAATCCCTCCCGTTGATAGAGATTGGCGCTGGATGTTGCTGCTATTGTTGTTGTTGGTTGGTTATTTTCATTAAAGTAATTATACTTTTGTTTAAATATTTTAAGTATATATATATATATGTTTTGTGCGTAACTTTTGAATTTTACAGGTAATTCAACTTGCAACAGAAATCAATCGACTTAGACGTCGTAAAGTTGGCATTAATCATACTGGTACACTGTCATCCAAAGATAATTACAACATCAATAATAATAATAACATTAATAGTCTACCAATGCATCATAATTCAGATCGTAGTCAAGATGACACAGGTTCTTCATCAGTTGATACAGAAACAGGATATATTCGTACGCGCAGATCACTGTATTCACGTAGACCAAGACTTGGTCGATTATCTTACGCTAGATCATTGGGATCCTCATGTAGTTCAGAAGTCGATTGTACATCAAGTGGTGAACAAACATGTGATACAGTAATTTATGTTGGTGATAGTAATAAGACTTCATTAAAGCCTGTACATCGTTATAGTAATGGTAGTCAATTATCGATTAATGAATTGGGTCCAAGAGGACTGGCTGATGGTAGTGTTGATGTTCACAGTGTAAATTATCGAAGTCATAGAGGATCAGCTGAATCAGTGATGATGATGACGACGTCGGTGATGAACAGGGATGATGAACAATCGATAATGAAAAGACAATATTCAGGCAATCATGTAAGTTTTTATCGTTTTAGATTGTTATGTTTTTAATATAATAATAATTTGCTTTATTCCAGAAACAGTACCTGGTGGTACAGTGTGGAATTTTCAGCACATATCTACAATATTCCATCTAATTTTATCAAACATTTAAAAGGAGTATTTCAAAAAATTAAAAATTTAAAAAAATAACAAAAAATGCGAAAAAATACCAAGAAGTAGAAAGGAAAATAAACAACAATAATAAGTAATATTTCAGTATTGGGCAGTGGAAGCTATGATATGTGTACGCGTGGTGAACAGTAACAGCTATAATCATACAAGAAGTCATGAGATGTTCTCAAGAATGTTTATCGCCAAGATGATCAGTTAATTTGATTGAAACTGCACTAAACAATCATAAAATAAACATTTCAGGGTTTTCATTTTTTTATTGTCAGGTCTAATGCGGTGTTTGTAGTGCTGATTGTTGTGAGTAATCATGCATAATACAAAATTTTAAGATGGTGATAATGGTGTTCACAACCAAGATTGTCAGTTAATATTGTCGAACAAAATGCAACCACAAGACTAATATTACATGAAGGTTAATGACAGGAAAATTTACAATAGCCTCTGATGTTTGGAGCATGCGGTGCTTCGATGATTTTGGCAATTTATTAGGCACCCGGTAGATGATGACAGAGAAGGATTCTTCCACACTGGCTGGTTTTGTGGGCGGCCAGTTTGCACCAGATGGTTCAATATCTACCTGTTAATGATGGTTTTCACTACACCTTTACTTAGCCATAGTGGGAGATGTTCTCGAGAGAGCACGAAAAAACCAAGTTCCTAGCTAGAGCAACGGCCAACATAACTCGCTCTACCACAAGCGCAGTTGAATTGGTAAATACAATTTGAAGTGGCTAGCTAGTCTAGGTACTTCATCTTTCAGTCGAGGTAGCACCATCGGTCGTGTAGAGAATAATACGTGTAGTTCGCCAGCATTAAAACTTCTTTGAACTGATTTTCTTAATTTCCTCGTAATTATCTCACTTGGTTTATCGGCCCTTGAATTGTAGTCGTATATAAAGCGGCTTCTTGTTTACAGATAGTGAGTAGTCCTTTTCCACCGTTTTCTTTGTCATGTGTTTCTTCATAACAACGATAGAGAGACAACGAAAATGTGGAGAGAAATGTTACAAGTTTGTACGTGTTTTGGTTTTGTATGTCTGTTTATTATTTTTCAAATTTTTCGCAACCGTTATCCTTGAAAAAAAAATTAACTGTAAGCTATAAACTGTATCTATGCCAATAAGACCGTGGAACTGAGAATACACTTTTATACCACTTGTATCCCACTGAGTTGTTTCTATGTGGAGTAGTGAATAGTATACACACATATGTGTTTGTGCTTAGTCACTAGACAACGTTAGTAACCAAGACAACACCAACAATAAGGAAGCTAAATCATCAATAGTAACTCCATACAAGGAAGGAACCTCGGAAACCACCTTATGCAGAATTCTTAACAAGGCAGAAATAAAAGTGGCTGGAATTCAAACCAACCACAAACTCAATTAGAAACAAGCTTTGTCGGTTAAAGGATCAATCCTGTGGAGCGAATAAAACAAAACAATTTAGTTTATCTAATACCCTGCCTGGAATGGTTGTCAAGTAAAATACGTAAGACGATGTAGTAGAACGGGAGCAATCAGAATAGTGGAGGACAAAATCCCAGAAGAATCTAGATTGGTTGACCCGAATAAGATAAGAAATCTAGAGAATAGTTCAGCTATACCACTCACTACATGCATTTACACACAACCGTACAATAGGCTGGATGGGATAGGATGACAGTTTAAAATCTAATGCAAGAGCTGGGTGGAGGGAGAGATTAATAACAGAAGCTTCGTTTATTGAATCAACTGCAAATACATGTAACAGGAACAATTCGACACCTGTCCAGTCGGATGTCCGGAAAATTCTACTACCCCTATGACGACAAATAGGGGAAAAGAAAGAAAACTGTAAAATTCAAGTTTCGAAGTCGTGTGATTACAATTGATATGATTATGAACAATAAATTTTGTTCGAAGCTGTGTCATCCAGTAAATAATACTGTTTCACTCACTAGGTGATACGTCTAACAAACAAACTAATATGCAGTTAGTAACCAATATCATTCGTCTCTACTCCTTGTTGTGTTGATTCACAGAGAATTCTATGTTCAGTCAAATTCACAATGCATTCACCAAATAAGCTCAGTGATTCTCCATCATGGTAGGCACTCTCTGAAATGGTTATAAGATGGTTGATGATAGTCGACAGGAAGGAAGCCCTGTTTGACCTAGGTTTCCTACTTTTTAGTACTCACCAGTCAGCAAGACATAGTATCTGCAATCTTCAAGGAAGTCATTTACCCCCACCCCCTCAGTGATAATGTCACTAACGTCTGCTGATGAGTGTCAGCAAGGACGAAACCTAGTTTTAGGGCTTCCTTCCGGTTGGTCATAATTTAAATATAGTTATCTAAATAACAACAATTGAGGTTAAACATGTAGGCAATTAGATATATATACAAACAAACAGACACCATCTCACATAGATACCAAAATGGATTCTGTTTTTGTCAAAATATATATATAATTTTTATGAGTTTGACCATGGATTAATATCAGCTAGAGAACCACTGGAAAACAAATCAGGGAGTACTGGACAGCCTAATTTGGGGATCATTGTCAGTAGGCACCCCACCACCAGGGTTTGAACCCACGACCTTCCGGTTACAAGGCAAGCCACTGAGAGCCGATTCAATGGCTAGCCCATGTGCATGAATTCTAACGACTTCTACCAATTCGTGATGAATTTAACGCGACCACCACCAACCAATGTCATCGGTGAGAACTCCATCCTCACACACGTGACATCTGGATGGACCTCACTGAGGTCACGACTTCTCACTAGAACTAACTCCAGGAAAATCCGTTCTGTAGCGAGTAGTCACTAGCGAGTATCAGATTAATTTTCAACAGTTTCGTTTGCAAGAATTTGATTCAAAACTCATTGGGTGCGTACTGCCTAGAAGTCCCAAGCTCGAGTGAAACAGCGGTCTGGCAGTACTCCCTGGTCGGTTTTCAATGGTTCTCTAACTGATATCGATCTATCGCTTAACTTGAAGCAAATAGTATCCCTAGAAAAACCACTTCATGGAAATTAAATACAGTTATCTAAATAACACCGTGCATCGGTGGCATAGTGGTTAGGACGCTCGCCGACCATGCACATGCTTCGGGGTTCGATCTCCGGCCACAGACGCACTCCTTTACCTCGCTAAGCCAGAAATAATTCTGGTAAAGAGGAAAGGTTGGGCATGAGGCTGGCTAGCAACCCCATCCTGTAAAAATAACCACCACTGCTACAGAAACTTCAAGCCACTAGCTTGAAGGTGCCCTATGTTCCACTGGGGAGCATGAAGGAGAAACAAAAATATACAAACGAAAACACAGACAGACACCATCTCACATAGATACCAAAATGTCTTGCGTTTTTGTCAAAATATATATATTTTTCTTTCCTTAAACCTACCACCTGTGGTTCTAGTGTGAATATATCTTTATTTATTCTTTATTACGTTTCTTTCTTTGTGAAGTTTTGGCTTAGTAACTAAATCTTAAGGAAATTCAAACACGCATACGAACACACAGGGACATAGAAACACTTGTGTTGATGTACCAACTGCAAAAAGTGACCTTGGAATTTTAAAGTTTGTGAGAGATTGATTCACTATATTTTGGAGATATTATGCAAAAAAAAATAAAATAAAATAACGAAATGGTAGAAGTTAGAATTCCTGCATTGGCTGGCCATTGAATCGAGTCCCAGTGACTGAATGGTGCGTCGGTGGCACAGTGGTTAGGACTTTCGCCGACCATGCATTTGGTCCGGGGTTCGAGCCCTCGCCGACGCACACCTGATATCTATGGTCGGCCTGCGAATTTTGGGCCACCGATATCCACGCTGAAAATTCCATACTTGTACCAAAAATACGGTGTGGAGTCAAGCTGTGATCAAAAATAAAAAAAAATAAAAAATATACGAGCTTGGCTTGTAGCCGGAAGGTCAAGGGTTCCAACCGTGGTAGGCTACCAGGTGAGCTTTGTGACCCAACTATTTTACCCGTTATATTCCTCTTCAAACTGTTGTCATATGAATAAAAGGCCGGTTACTTTGTGTTTATCATAATTCAGGTCACCAAACTAAGTCTTCTTCTCCTATCAATTCTATTCACATAATTAAGAGGAGAAGAATCAGGTTAGGTTGTTAATTAATGATGATTCTGTCTGAGACAGCCCTGAGTTGGCAGAGATGTTACCACTTTACCGCAGTGGATTAGAGTTTGAAGGCGTGAATTGAAAATCTAAAGGGTGGAGGTGAGATTTCAACTAATCACAATGGGACTTCTGTCTCAACACAGATATGAACCTATTTCTTGCTGACTGTCTTGAACGATTGCGTTGAAGAGTCTTCTACCTCGAAAATTAGTCTTTGCTGACACAAAGCAACCAGACACACGACCCTGATTACCTACATCCTAGTCATGAGTCGTGTAGGAGGTCAACTGTCATCCAAAACAACTGACTAGTAAGTAACCTGTCTATTTGTAACACTGAGTGATACAGTTTCTAGTCTTAGAATGAGGTGTGTGTGTGTGTGTGTATGCGTGGGGGCGGGGTTGCGTCTCTTCAACTTTACAGACGGACTTTGTTGATGAGTATCCATGAACAAGAAAGTTAAGTCCAGGGATTCTTACCGACTGACGACCACTTCACCAATGTCAGTTTATGATGAAATACTGCAGCCAATCAACCGAATCCCCACAAACCAATACTTGAATACCAATGAGATGCTAACTGGCGACTGGCCCTATTCAGGTAGGTAGTTACATGAGGTTCTATTGGGAAGTCATGACCAGTAGGGTGCAGCAGGTCGGGTGTGAGGACAAATACTCGCCAAAGACATTGGCTAGTGGCCGCGCTATGTCGTGAATTGGCAGAAGTTAGAATTCATGGACTGGTCATTGGATCGGGTCCCACTGGCTATTTTTGATTTTTTTTCTTTTGACTATAGCTTGATTCCACACTGTATTTTTGGTACTAGTATGGAATTTTCAGCAGATGATATCGGTAGCCCAAATTTTGCAGGCCGAACATACATATCAGGTGTGCGTCAGCAGGGAATCGAACCTGGGACCATGTGCATGGTCGGTGAGAATCCTAACCTCTGTGCTACCAATGCACAAGGTCTACGAGCTCGCCTTGGAACCAGAAGGTCCTGGGTTCGAACTCCGGTGGGTGCGCATTGCTGAAGAGTTCCAAACTAGGATGAAACAGCTGGCTATCCATTACTCCCTCCAGGTTTTCCAGTGGTTCTCTAACCGATATCAGCTCATGATGAAATCCTGTAACTGATGCAGTTCTGTTAGCACTAGCACTGCGGACTGCACATATGACATAAATTACGCCCTGGCAACTAATCAGTGTAGATTTTCATTGTATTGAGTACATACTCACAAACATTTCAATAATAATAACAATGAAATTATTATTTCATATTTTTAGAATCGATCAGTTAACCCGGGTCATTCAAATAATTCAAGTACAGTGAAACGAATGATACCTAGAACAAATGCTACAGCATGGCCACGTATTATTAATTTAAGACGATCCAGAAAGCTGTCTACCTCATTATCACCAACATCATTGTCATCGGCTACAGAAGGAGCCACAAACATTACAATCACTGAAGAAACATGGATTGATGGTCCAAATGCCTCAATGACACCGCCAACACCGACGACTCCAACATATAACCGGAATACAATAAATAATGAACAGAATCTTGTGAATTTAACTCCTTCGGAAGAGAATATAAAGAAGAATGATGGGAATTGTTCATCGGCGCCTACATCCACGCCTACGCCTACGCCTACATCTGCACCACCTCCACCTCCACCCTCATATCATAATTGTGTACATAATTTAATTCAAGATAATCTTACAACATCATTTATATGCAATATAGAAGAAGTTTGTGAACAGCTGAAAGAAGAACCAGTAAGTTATTACCACGTTATTGTTATTTTCTTATCCTTCTGTTCCTTTTTTTCATTGATTAGTACATAAAATCGATCTGAAGCCAGATATGGATCATCCGGTTGAGTACTACTCATCCTAAACCAAATTTTTATCAACACTTTCCTCAAACTTATGGTGTGTAAGGCAGATATGAACTGATTTGACTGACCCTCTAAACTGAATTAAACAGTGTACACCTCGCCGATGAGCGTGAACTTTCACGAATGAATCTGTTTTCCTGTGACCAGATCAGATCACTTCAACTGATGTCATGAGATTTCCGACTATATAATGAAGGCTAGGGTGGCATACATGAACTTGAGCCTCCTCTGGCGCTTTCGCGACGTTAACCTGGCTGTCAAAGGTCGGGTATACAATGCTTTGGTGCGGGTTGTCTTGCTCTACGCCTGTGAAACCTGGCCTCTCCGAGTAGGCTGAGGATGTGTGGCGGCGACTCTGCGTGTTCGATCATCGCTGTCTCCGCAGGAATGCTTGCATTCGATTGTTATGTACTCGTCGCTAAATTATTGTTATGGACTGGTCGAGAAACTAATAGTCCTGACGCGAGAAGGCGGAAATCAGAAGACCACTAGGCTTGCGATGATACTTCTATTGTCCAAACACTAGGAGACGAAAATAAATGGTCTCACACCAAAGTGGTATGTAAGTAAAGTAGTTGTAAAGTAGTTCACACAAATTGTGAATGCGAATATATATAAAATAATTCAGACAAGCGTGGGAAAAATCATTAGACAGTCTTAACATGAATGGCTAATTATAATGGAGTGTCGATCCAATTATACATAGCGAATATAGCAGACATGCCAACAAACATATATGGATATATGTCACCAAGCAACGGACTGTCAACAAACACTCATATTATATATAATATAATATAAGGAGAATATACATTATTAAAGGAGACAAGTTCACACAAGTGAAGTGGTCACAGACTAACCGAGCAAACAGAAAGAGAGACCAACATGCACACACACACATAAATATATATATGTGGATACATATCATCGATGACATTATCACGTGGGTAATTCTGAGGTTCAGCGACGTGTGTTTGAACCGCAGTGGAGATCACCATTCATTGAGTGTCGTCATCTGGAAACACCGGCTCCGGTGGCTTGGACATGTGCTGGGAATGTCATCCCAGAGGCTGCTTCCGTACAGGTCCCTGTTCGCTAGCCAGCCCTGGGACGCGATGGGAAAGGCAGAGAGGTAGGTGGTCAGTCCATGTCGTGGCGTCGTGGGATAAAGGATGTTTGTGCTAGATTAGCTAGCATCGGTTAGTGCGTCACGACTCCCTGGTTAAGGTCCGCGAGATAGCTCGAATCGATGGCTCGAAACGTTATCGGATATCGCCAAGAATCGCAATCGTCAATGGCGAACGTGTTGGAATTCCACTTCTTTCCTCCCTTCTTGATGATAGTTAACGAATACTGTTTAAACTCGTTAAGCATGACTGTTTTCCTTCCAGATGAAGTTCTTTATCCGTTCTCTACTTGTATTTTTTACTTTTGATCTATGTTGTTTTATTATTATTGTGTGGCGCATCTTTCTTGGTGCCATATTGTATCAAGGTTTTTCTGCGTTTAAATATATAAATAAATAAAACGACTGATGTCACTGGTGTTCAACAAAGCTTTAGCTTAAAGCCATATGTTCCACTAGAGACGTTAGGGAATAAAATAAATAACAACAATAAATAATACCAGTATCCATATTATGTTTCACCATCAATAGGTTTAGGGGATTCAGTCGGCTTCTTGAAGCTACCGCTTGAAGAAATCGAGCAGGGTTCCTTATGTGATGTGACCACAGCGTACACCAAAATTGATACGGAACCCTTGGGATATGACACCAATTTTTCCAGTTTTCTGAATTTCATGAGACTATAAGTGTAAATGTCTTACTCTAATCGGAAAGGGGCGGCGGAGGTCCTTAGAACTGATAAACATTAAAGGACATCTATACTGGTTGGTTAAACTTTAGATTGAAAAGAACAAGAAGTTCAGCAGCACAGAGATCTTTTCGGCGATTTCATTCTCAAAAGCAGCTGTACAATCGCATTTATATACATTAGTTTACATGGATATAATTATTATTTGCTTAATTCCACATAGTAACGAAGGTGATAATAATTTTCAACTTGATATGAAAGTTTGGAGGTACGACTTTAGATTACAAGAGGCATAGAAACAGAAAATTACACAGGATTAGAATATAAGTGTAAAAGGGTTATTCTAAACGGATTACAAAATGTGATCAGGAGGAGCATGGAAACAAACTTAAAATAACTCATTTTATAACTGAAAAAATGGGATGAATTGAATGAAGGCAAAGAGAGGAAATCACACACACAGAGAAAAAAAAACTGAAGGATAAGGGAACATACCGAACTAAGTCCATGGTAGTTGTAAAGGCTGGACTAGTTTCTTTTGAACACATAGCTCCGGCGTTTCGATGCATATGGCGAGAGCTTCCGCAGGACAAAGAAGTCGGAAACACACTGCCTTTGGTAGATTTTTGTTCACTTTGTAAATGACTCTGAATGATGAGTCAGTTGGGATTCTGTGGCAGGTATCGACGACGTGTTCAGTTATTGCGCTTCGGATTGAACCAGTTCCTCCTCTTTGCAGCCATACTGGGTGATGTTCTCTAACACGTTTTGATAAGGCCCTCATAGAACGACCTATTATGTACCTAGCTCCACAAGAGCAGGTGAACTGATATATGCATATTGAAGTGGTCATATGCGGAAGTCTGTCCTTCCCGTTGCTCCGAAGTAGTTAGCGGCTAGAAAATATCACTCTTAGAGTCTTCTTCAAGGAATCGGAGATTCTCCTTCAAGCTTATATCAAAGATGACGATATGGACATCAATAGAAATATCAAATTCACAGTGATGAACACTTCAGTAAGGAATAAATACAGAAATATCATAAATCAACGTGTTTGTGTGTGTAAGTTAAGTCTTAGTTTCGAGCTCTTCAACAGTTCACACCCACAACCCTACGATCACGGATTGAATCCGAAACCTTGTGTTTACGAGGTTCAATTTTTTGATGATTCAGCCATTTGAACGAGAATTCAATGAACCATAAATCCTAGCGTCTTGTCTTGTAACCTGAACGTCTCAGGGTTCGACTGTTACCGCTGCAGATGATCTCCAAACTAGGACGAATCATAGCTGTTCATCACCGCCTGATTTTCACTCGTGTGTATGTGTATGTGTGTGTGCGACGGATATTGACAAAACCTACATTGTAATAAATCCAAATAAAAATCACTTATATTTATTATTTGTTATACAACTGGTCAGCATCGGTGGCTTAGCCGTAGGATGATAGCTAACCATACCTCGTGTGGTCCGGGTTTCGATCCCCGGCCACCGACGCACTCATTTACCTGGCATTTACCACAGGAACGTATGGTTTACCACAAAGTGGATTATATGCGAGTGAAAAGCAACAAGTTGGCAGAAGAAGAAACATCAAAGATAGGACTTCCTTCAGATGAACATAGAGAAAACAGAAGCGATGAAGATTCCTGGTCAATAACAACAGCAACAACAACAACAACAAACAACAATCAGCCAGCAGAAGTGGGAAAAATCTGAAAGAAGCAAACTCCTTTACCTACCTACCTACCTATCTGGGAACCATCGTTTCAACCATAGGCGGACAGAACTGATGAGGATATCAAAGCAGCGATGATCGGGAAAGCAAGGCAAGCTTTCACTACTCTCAAGTCTGTGTGGAGGCGATCAACACCACTCAGCACTCAGCATGAAAAATAAGATCCGGATTTCCTTCAACTCCAATATGAAGTCATTTCAACTATACGGATCACAGACTTGCACTGCGCGTTACAAAGGACACTTCAAAAAAACTACAGACCTTCATTAACAGCTGTCTTCGCTCAATACTTCTCTCAAGATCAGATAGCCGGCCAGAAAAGCAACATCAGCAACACGGATCTCTGGCGATGAACAAATCAACCCACCAGGAACCAATTGTACAACATATCTTCAGGAAGAAATGGAGGTGGATTGGCCGGTCATACTCTGAGAAAACAAACCATCATCAAGTGACACCTATCATACGTCAAGCTATCGCTCGAGTGGACAGCGAATGAGAAACAGCGAGTCAGTTGGTCGTCATTTCGAGGGTGTGGTGACATGGAGGAGGAGGAGGTAATGTGAAAAGGAGATGAAAGTATGTCGGCAGACGTGGAACCAGGTGATGAAAACGTCGGTAGAGAACCAAACGCGATGGTAAGGTGCGACTGAAGCCCTATGTTCCTCTAGGAACTACAGGGAACCATAATAATAATATTATAATCATATGTAATAATATTTTTCATTATTCCCCGTCATCTGTTATCCTAATCCCTCCCTTTCTTACAGATTATGAATTCAATCCAGACACAAACATCTTCTATACCTCATATGATAAATATTTATAATGCGAGTAATTCAATGAATGCACAATTAAGAAATACAACTGCTCCTCCTCATCCTACAACAACAGCAACAAAAACTACTACTACTACTGAAAACAATTTTATCAGTAGTAATTCTAGTGGTAGTAGTAATAGTAGTACATGCTCTACTCTAGAGAGTAATCAACACAGAAAAGTGCCTAGAGCACTATCAGATATCTCAGAGCGTACAGAAGACGCTGAAACCCTGCAAGAATCAAATTCTAGCAGTCGACAGTTGAATTTAAATCTGTCACATGAATGTTTAACAACAATAGCAACAACAACAAGTTTTTTAACGTCATCACAATTATTTTCATTTGATGAAAAAACATTCTGTTCAAATCCATTTCTTAGTAATGATAATTATCAAAGTGAGTTGATGTAATTATTGTAGTTATTATTATTATTATTCTGTTTTTTCTAAGGGTTGGTTTATAAGGATGGGATTTTGTTATGTACTCGTCGCTAAATTATTGTTATGGACTGGTCGAGAAACTAATAGTCCTGACGCAAGAAGGCGGAAATCAGAAGACCACTAGGTTTGCGATGATACTTCTATTTTCCAAACACAAGGAGAATGCAAATAAGTGGTATCACACCAAAGTGGTAAGTAAGTGTAAGTAAGTATATCACACAAATTGTGAGAACGAAATATATATGACAAAGGTGTGAACAATCATTAGACAGTCTTAACATGAATGGCTAATTATAATGAAGTATCGATCCATATATACATAGCAAAATATAGCAGACATGTCAATAACCACCATATATGGATATATGTCACCAAGCAAAGGACTGTCAACAAACACTCATATTATATATAATATAAGGGGAATATACATTATTAAAGGAGACAGGTTCATACAAGTGAAATGGTCACAGACTAAGCGAGCAAACAGAAAGAGAGACAAACATACACACACACATAAATATATATATATATATATATATATGGATACATAGCAGATTTGTTTTGACGAGTTTAACCACGGATTGAAATCAGTTAGAAAACCACTGAAAACCAACAAGGGAGTACTGAACGGCCAGGCGAGGACGCTGAAAAAAATGCAGAGTTTTCTGAACACCTTGAGCTGCAATCTACAAATGTTTGGCATACGATTCGCTCCTGCTGTCAAATGTAAGATAATGTTACAGGACTGTACTGTACTACACTGACTCTTAGTTTAGAAATAGGAAGTGAAGTGGTCGATCACGTTGTCCGCTTCGCTTATTTGGGAAGTTGTATCAGCCAACACTAACGGGTTGATCTCTGACGAAATCTCAGCACGGATATAGGGGGCTAGTTTCCCGCATGCCAGTTTACGCCATCTCTGGCGTAGACGTGATATCCGGCTGGCTATCGACGAAAGGGCGGATGTACTGCTCAGCAGTCCAATCCGTCCTCCTTTATCGTTGTAAAACCTGGCCATTGAGAGTGGAAGATAATAATAATGATAATAATAATAATAATAATAATAATAATTGCTTTATTCCAAAAACAGTACTCATGATACAGCAAGGAATTTTCAGCATTCAGTACAATATTGCATCTAATTTACCAAAAACGACAAAAAAAATTAAAAATACACAATACATAATAGTAATAAAACGATTGTTGTAGCAGCTACGTAGCAAAATACTGTGTGCCATACGGAGAAAAATATGTATAAAGTACAAAATTGTAGTAATAATAGTAATACCAACTAATATAAAATAGCAGAGTAACGATTTAAACGATAGAAAGTGTGACACCATAAAATACAGAAAGATGAACGATAAAAGGGTCGATTCACTGTGCTAATTACATAGTAACTTGTAAGTTTCACGTCTAACAGAGTCTTCGTCACATAAAGTACGCGCTAAATAGGGTATTGTAGAATTTCTATACTTAGTAGTACGAGCATATATCTTTTTATATTGACTTCTCGTCCTACCTGATGAGATACAAGGGGACAGGTGTGAATAAAGGGGGTGCAGAGGGTCTGACATTATAGCCTTTGCCCATTTCGTACAGGAATTTATATGCCTCTCGACTATAGTATTAGCGAGCTCATGCAGTGGCAGACCACAAGCTCTACTCACAGCATTTAATACTCTTCGTAATATGATATAATCTTTTTTGAGAAGCCCAGGAAAGATTAATGGAGAGCAGTAGAGTACAATAGGTAAAATACAGGAGTTTAAAAATTGCAAAACTAAAGGTTGGTTGATACCTGATTGTCTTAACTTTTTAATGTAGAAGGTAAGACGAAACATTTTCTTAGAGATAGATAAGATATGGGATGACCATGAAAGGTCAGAGGAAAAAACTAGTCCAAGGTATTTAATACTTGATTTGGTTTCAATTTCCGTGCCATCTATGCTACAGGGATCATGAGAGTTAACTAGTTCAAGTAAGTCACGTCGATGCTTGAAAGTAAAGTCAAGCACCTGACATTTGGAAGGATTTAATATAAGACCATTTGACTTGGACCAGTTGTTGATGTCCAACAGAAAGCTATTAAGTTTGGAGCTGTCAGACTCGGAAGTGATAGGCAGTGATACAGTCAGATCATCTGCATATTTGACAAAGTTAGTTTCGTTTGAATGAGGCGGGTCATGTAGGAAGAAAGAAAAAAGAAAAGGAGAGAGGACAGCACCTTGTGGAACACCGGATTTTGTAAGCGAGGTAGAAGAAGATTTGCCGTTATATACAGTATACTGCATTCTATCAGAAAAATAGGAATGCAACCAACTCTTAGCCCAGGATCCTGTTTGTGTCAACGATAGCTTATTTAATAAAAGGCCCCTAGGTACAGAGTCAAAAGCAGATGTGTAGTCTAAGAAAGCACTACGAACATATTTAGCACCTTTGTCTAAACAAGAGACAACATTGTGATATAAGACAACCGCAGCATCCAAGGTACTTCTACCATGTTTGTATGCAAATTGTTTAGGATCATTAAAAGGTTTCAAAGATATGAAAAGGCTGGCCAGCTGTCTTTGATCATGGGTGCCTGAGTTCTATCTCCAGTGTCAAGTGGTATAATAAGGTAAACAGTATTGAGGTTAGACCTCGGTTGAGAGCTCGATAGTGAGGGGAAATCAACAGACAAGGCTGTGAATCTACATCGACTGAGATGGTTAGGACATGTGTTACACATGCATGCCTAGTCATCGCCTCCCTTGACTGACGGGCAATGTTAGCTGACATAGGATCAGTCTGCAAAAGAGCTAGCAGTGGTCAAACCAAAACATGGTTTCACCAGTCAATGAAATTCACAGTAGTTAGTTTAAGCCAGCCACGTAGGAAGGTATAGACTTCCTGACTGGTTGGGGTCCTCGGGACGGTAAAAGCCAATGGTTGGAAACAACTAGTGATATGGCTCAAAGTAATCGTTCTCAATGGCTAGCGGAGATGCATCCACTCCTTGTGACCTATGATTTCCAATGAAACTATATGGTTCTTCGTTATTACTATTCCTTTGTCTCACACCTCTTTTGCACATCGGTAGAAAGTTCTATGTCGTAAACAGACCGACTGGACAGACAGCTGTTTCGACAGCCTAGTTTGGGAATCATTGGCAGTAGGCACTCACCGCCAGGTTTCGAACGTACGATCTTCCGATTACAAGGCAAGCTAGGTCATATACCACTGAGCCACTGGGAGCCGATTCAATGACTAGCCCATGAATGAATTCTAACTTCTACCAATTAGCCCGTAGCCAGGAGTCATTAGCAAGCATCATATTAATTTTCAACAGTTTCATTTATAAGGTTTATAATTATTTATACGAGTTTGATCACGGATTTATATCAATTAGAGAACCATCGAAAACCAACTAGGGAGTACTGGACCGCCAGCTGTTTCGACAGCCTAGTTTGGGGATCATCGGCGGTACGCACCCACAGGGTGGGGTTCGAACCCAGGACCTTCTATTAATATTTACCATATATTTTTTGTGTTTCGAGTGAAATGTTAGGCTTCAGCATCGCTTGGTTTTCGGTTATTCTTTCTGGCAAGCAGGTTGGTTTCATGACTATCTACAAAGCTTTCTGTTCCTCTTCAGAGTCTGGGCGATGTGTTATTTCACCTGATCGTTTCCTTGGGGCGTACGTTTGTCCCTTGCTTCTCATTTCCTTCTCAGTAAAAGCTGGCAGATTCACAAACTATCGTAATTCCCCGTTGGTTCCCTCTTCTCTAGGCTTACCACCAGCTGAGAAGTCTAGCAGTGCGTCGTCTGGGTGGAAGCGAACCTTGGACCATTTGCATGACTGTCGGTCAGATTTCACGATGAACCGTTGAGAAGTGAACATATGAGAATAGTAAGAAAAAGGTATTAGCATTACAGGCTCGAAAAGGGAATAATACATGTTTTTATTTGCTAACATAAGTCTAAGAACTACTGAAAATCATGAGTCACTAAATAGCTGTTCTTTTGTAGTATGGCCTTTATGACAGTATACATTCACCTATTGATAAAATTTGATGGCGGTCGTACTGTGATGGTGTGATACAGACAATGTGTGCCGAAGGAATATTATTTCACATATTCCCACAGTTCAATACTGCAATGCCAAAAAAATACCACATATATTTGAAAATTGTATTTCTTGTCGTTTCATGTAAGCCGAAATCACACACTCAGTGATTGGTTGGAGAATATAAAACTGTACATGCATTTAAATGGCGGTTCGAGCAATTTAAAATATACCTTGACTCCCGCGTCTTGCCTTCTGATGCTACATTTGGTATCGCTGCCTATAGATAAATGAAAAGTCTGTGTCCTGCAGTTTTTGAAGGATACATATGGATCTTCTGGCAGGACCTCGACGCTGTTGCGGAACTAAATGGCGTTCAAGATCCGTCAGCAAACAGGCTGTTACTTGGTCGCTGCTGGGAGGTCGGGCAAAGTCAGCATAGGATAGTGTGAGGCGAAACACCGGCAAATACACACCAGGGTCATGCAAACTGCTTCCAAAATGGGAAGGATCACACACAGTCACTGTGAGATGGGGTCACGTACATAAAATCAGAAATGCAAACAAAGAGAATCGGGTGGACGTTGGCGAGCTCCGGAAATCGATAGAGCAAGAAAAGTTGACAAAGCCTCCAGCTCCAACCGACCTCAGAGGAAAGTTTTTGATGGGGGGGAGGTGCTAGTGCGGTGGTGTGATACACGAAATGTGTTCCAACGGAATGTGATTCTCACATGTTCTCACAGTTCACTACTGTGTTAGCAACAGAATACTATGTATATTTGAACATTCTATTTCATGTCGTTTAATGTAAACCGTTCACAACCATTATTAAATATTACTATTATTATTACTATTGTGAGTGGCTTTCACTATTATTCCACTTGTTCCCTTCCTTAAAAACTTAGCTTAGCATATATATTTCGCAGAATTAGACACTAATCTTATCAAACATCTCATCCGGTTACGTAATGTTTTGTTCGCTCACTAATTTTGATTACCTTACTCGCATTTCTAAAACTTCATTTATTTCACAGCTTTAAGTTATCAGTCTACACCTGACAAGATGGTTCACACATGTATGTATTTCATTTCCTCTGAACCTTTAAAAAACTGCAACTAAAAATATTGGCTTTAAATTGTCATTAGATGGTTGGATGCAATCGATAGGATGTCTTAAACCTAGGTTTCGTCCTTGTTGACACCTGTCAACAAGGTGGAGTATCTCCAATCTTGAAGGAACTCATTTGCATTTTGAGATTCAAAGTCAACTTACCCAATATTGTAGTCAGAGGATTTATCACTAAGGTATCCTTCAACCTTCTGTAGGACTACAGTAGATACTGTGATTGGACACTGTGCAATGGCTGGTGTCATGCACTTAGTCCTTCTTTTGGCACAGACTAATTTGTTCAACTTGTTTTGCCTACTTAAATGCAGTTAAAGTAGTTAAAAACATTTAATAAAATATGTGGCCTGTTCACCCGTCATCTATATTGGAGAAAACGTGCACAACACACTTTGGACATTCTGTTCACACACACACACACACACGTACTTCTAATACACATTTATGTAACAGGTGACAGATCATAGAGGATTAAGAATTCTCCTATCAATATAGGCCGAAATGATTACTGGTTATAGTTACAGTGGAAAAATTAGGAAAGTGGAACAAAAGGGCGTGATGTCTGAAAATTTTCACTTGGCTCATAAAACTCAAATCCAATAAATTTCTCCTGTTTTCCTTTTAGAATTCATGGATAATAATAACAAAAACAGCAACAACAACAACAACCTGGTATCGTGTTCAGTGAATACATCGACAAAACCAACTGAAGTATTACTTGACATTGGTAGACAAATCCGTGAAGCCTCAAAGTGTAACAATTATATGATTCCAACATCTTATATGTCTGTTGTAAATGTGCCACAAGTAAGCAACAAAAATTAATTTTTATTTACTTTAATATTTCCATCAAGATGTTATTTTTGGATCATGGTGACTAGAGGCGCGTTTCGTTCAATTCGGCACTCACCAGCTGGTGACATTCCCCCCCTCCCCCCCACTTAGACTTCAAAGCAATAATCATAGTTTCACTTTTAACCCGGTGTCATCCTTCTAAAATATCGTCGAAGCATTTGTGCTAGGAGTGAGCGTAAATGTGAACAAAGACCGAGTATTTCGGTCCAGTATATGAAAATCAACCAACATGTGCCTTCATCATTTCCCGATGAAGTGGATGCACATTGTAGACATTGGTTGACGGTAACGGGTTATTGGATTCCTGTCGAAGTGGTTGAATGGTTTGATGAACCTTGCCTTGTCACATAGAGATTCGAAACCTAGTTGGAAAGGGTCGTCAGTGTTCATTGCCGAAGAATCCCAAGCTAAGACGAAACAACTGTCTATTGCTCCTTGGTTTCCAGTGTTTTCTGTAACTTCATCACGGATTGGTATGAACGATCCTCAGTGGCACTGTATCAACAGATCACAGAAGTTGGAATTCTGACCCTAAGAGTGAATTCTGTCCATTTAATAATTTTCTGATTCCATCACGTCTATAACACTATGACGATTTCTCACAGCAACTTCTTTTTTTGGCAATAAGCGCTCCTATAGTCGGTGTTCTGATAATCTCTCTGATGTCAATTGTCAGTTTTATATGTGAAGGAAACTTCGAACAAACCACAGACTTTTGTCAACAGCTCTCTTAGCTCAATACTTCTCTCAAGATCAGATGGCCGGCCAGAAAAGATCAGCAGCAGTGAGGGATCTCTGGCAATGAACGAACTAACCCACCAGGAACCAATTGTGCAGTAAATCTGCAGGTAGAAATGGAGGTGGATTGGCCGGTCATACTCTGAGAAAACAAACCATCATCAAGTGACACCTATCACACGCCAAGCCATCGCTTGAGTGGAATCCGAATGGAAAGCGGCGAGTTAGTTGGTCGTCATTTCGAGGGTGTGGTGATATGGAGGAGGAGGAGGTGATTTGAAGAGGAGATGAAAGCATGTTGGCGGACATGGAGCCAGGTGAAAACGTGGGTCGAGAATCGAGAGCAGTGGTGAGGTGTGGCTGAAGCCCTATGTTCCTCTAGGAATTAAAGGAGAAAATAATAATATGTTAGAAAGGTTTGACTGACTGACTGGTTTCAACAGAGGACTTCACACAGAAGTGGAGCATTGAGAATGACTTTGAGTCATATCACCAGTTGTCTCCAGTCTTCATTGGTTATTTCCATCCAGAGGACCGGTCGCAAAGTCTACATCTCCCTACGTGGCTGGCTGGCTGACTGTTATGAATTTCACTGACTGATGAAGCCATGTTTTCGTTTGACCACCACCACTAGTGCTTTTCCAACCTGATTCCATGTTAGTCGGCTGGCACTGCCCGTCGTCAAGGAAGGCTATGGCTAGGCATGCGTAACACATGTCCTAACAATATCAATCGGTGTAACCGCCTCACAACCTCGTCGATTGATTCCCCCTCCCTCTTCATCTAGCACCTTAATATCGCCCTTTTTATTGTACCACCATGTAACACGGGAGATAGAACGCGAAGACCTATGGTCAAAGACAGGTAGTCACCCTTTTCATATCTTCCATTTTCAATGGCCACGTCTCTCTTCCAACCATAAATGAGGATGGCGCGAACTTCTGAGGAGCATAGACGTCCTTTGGTTGACAGCCAACTGGATGTCACGTTTACTCCAGAGATGGCGTCAGTTGACAAGTGTCAGACCAATTCTGGGTTTGAATTTCAGCGAGATTACTATCGCTTACTGGAGAAAACAGGTACACCAAGTTAGCTGACGAGTCCTTAAAAGGACGAGACACTCATCTACTGGATTCCACTCCATCAAGCAAAAAATATTCACCTTAGCAACTTGTTTAACATTTTCTGTTAAGAGGCGCCCAATCGACTATTTATTGATCTACAGTATTCACATAAAAATTTTCCTAGTATATGAAATAAACAATAAATTGTTTTTTTTTAATTTAAATTTTTCAGTATTTAAATTGTTTAAATGAAGATGAAGAATTGATGTCAAATTTAAAAATCACTAGCACAACCATCCCCACCACCACGAACAACAACAACAAATCACCATTATTCAATCATGATGAATTAAAACAACATTCAACAATTACTGAAAATTTAGGCACTACAAGAGATGACATAACACTGTCGAATTCTCATCAAATAAACTCATTATCAAGGTATGATTTTTTTGCATATATATTCTATTTTGTTACTGTTTAACTACTTATGTCCAATGGCTGGATTCTTGGTAGTCAGGCGGGAGGTACACATTCAAATTCATAGAGTTATGGCTTGTTCATTAAGGTTCTGGATTCTTCAACTATCAGATTATAGGTTCACAGCTAACGTCGCTGGTTTTGTTAATATATGTATGAAACCAAGGCACTGTGGTAGTAAGTAATTCCATATTAGTTAGTTTATTAGATGTATCACACAGTGAGTGAAACAGTATTATTTACTGGATGACACAGTTTCGAACACAATTCATTACTGTTCATAATCATTCCATCAATTATAATCACACGACTTTGAAACTTGAGTTTTATAGATTTCTTTGTCTTCTCCTATTTGTCATAGTTGGGGTAGTAGAATTTTCCAGATATCTAGGTGGACAGGTGTTGAATCATTCCTATTACATGTATCTTCCGTTGATTCCGTTATCAATCTCTCCCTCCACCCTGTGACATTAGATCTTAAAACTGTCATCTTATCCCATCCAGCCTATTGTACGGTTGTGTGTAATTTCATGTAGTGAGTGATAAAGCTGAACTATTCTCTAGATTTCTTATCTTATTCGGGTCAACCAATCTAGATTTTGTGGCCGGGTTTTATGTTCGGCTAGTCTGACTCACTGCACCTGTTCTGCTACTTTGACCTATGCATTTGACCTGACAATCATTCCAGGCAGGGTATTAGATAAACTAAATTGTTTTGTTTTAAAGGCTCCACAGGAGTGATCCTTTAACCGACAGAGCTTGTTTCTAATTGAGTTTGTAGGTGGTGTAAATGTCAGCCAATTTCATTCGTGCCAGGGTTGTTAAGAATTCTGCGTAAGGTTTCCAAGGTTCCTTACTTGTATGGAATTACAACTGATGATTGAGATTCCTTATTGTTGGTGTCATTATTATTATCACTATCGCTACTATCATTATTTATTTTATTTTTACATTTCCTTACATATTTCCTGACTAATTTATCAGGGTAATTATTAATTTTCAAGGCTTCTCCTATATTTATCACTTCCTGTCTTAGATTTTCCTTGGTACTACTTAGTTTTTGCGCCCTATTGTCACTTAAACATTTCACCAATCCTATTTTCACTGACATAGAGTGGGTTGAATGATCGGAAGTCCAAATATCTGTTTGCCTGTGTGGGTTTCCTGTAAACACTAGTCCTTACCTTCCCATCTTTTTTCCTTTTTACGCTACAAACTAACATCGGGAGCTCCCCTTCCTGACTTTTTAATTCATAAGTGAATTGAATTGCCTCCACCATTGAGCTGATGTGTTCGAAAAATCTATCTACATCTTGTGTTCTAACTACAGTGAATGCGTGATTACAATTGATAGAATGATTATGAACAATAATAAAATTGTGCTCGAAACTGTGTCATCCAGTAAGTAGTAATACTGCTTCACTGTGTGAGACATCTAATAAACAAACTAGTATGGAATTCGCTGGCTATGGTTTGAGCAATCAGGTAGTATTGTTAACTAAATCGAGATACGAATAGTGTAGACACTTCCACCTCTTCAGCCAGCTACTGACTACCACTTCGTCAATTTGCTTTATACTGCAGTAGCACTGGCCACCGCACACAATAGGTGTGGCTGATTGCCAAATGCCTGGCAACGGAAGTGGTTGTTGAGGTGAGTTCAGTCAGTTCGTGGCCGATGCACTTCTAATCCTCGCCTAGTCCACTAATTGATATTAAACCCAGTAACCTTACTCCGTAAAGAAATAACAACACCACAGCTTCTGGCACTTCAGAAGCACTTTTGAAGCCTTATGTTCTCCTCGGAAGGTAAAGGAATGAAGAAAATGTTTATTTTAGTTGACTGTGTTATATCGACTATATGGGAGATGTGTTAGAAGTGGCGTACAGAAGTACTCAGACCAAAGTGAGAAAGATCATCCGCACCTATTGGTAACAAGTTCGATCACAAGCTGACATTAGAAGACTATGGAGTACTGGACGTCGGTTTCATCCTAGTTTGGGACTCTTTTTCAGGAGTCTTTTGAACACATTGAGAAGTAGCAATCTACGAATGTTTGGCATGCGATTCGCTCCCACCAAATGTAAGATGATGCTACAGGACTGGACTGGACTAAATTGACTCCTAGTTTATAAATAGGGAGTCAAGTGTTAGAGCGCGTTGACCACTTACTTCACTTATTTGGAAAGTTGCATCAGCCAGTCCCAATGGATTGATCGCTGATGAAATCTCAGTACAGATTACAGAGGGCTAGTTTCGCATATGCCAGTTTACGCCGTCTCTGGCTTAGTAGACGTGATATCCGGCTATCGACTTAAGGAAGTGTGTACTGCTCAGCAGTCCAATCCGTCCTGCTTTGTGGCAGTGAGCGAGACCTGGCTATTGAGAGTGGAAGATATGAAAAGGCTGGCCAGCTGTCTTTGATCATAGGTGCCTGAGTTCTATCTCCAGTGTCAAGTGGTATAATAAGGTGAACAGTATTGAGGTTAGGCTTCGGTCGAGAGCTAGATAGTGAGGGGAAATCAACGGACAAGGCTGTGAATCTACATCAACTGAGATGGTTAGGAAATGTGTTACGCATACATGCCTAGTCATCGCCTCCCTTGACTGACGGGCAATGTTAGCTGACATAGGATCAGGCTGGGAAACAGCTAGCGGCGGTCAAACCAAAACATGGCTTCACCAGTCAATGAAATTCACAGTAGTTAGTTTAAGGCATTCACGTAGGGAGGTGTAGACTTCCTGACCGGTTGGGGTCCTCGGGACGGTAAAAACCAATGGCTGGAAACAATTGGTGATATGGCTCCAAATCGTCGTTTTAATGGCGCAGATGCATCCACTCCTTGTTACTTATGATTTCCAATGAAACTATATGGTTCTTCGTTATTACTATTCCTTTGTCTCACACCTCTGTTTACTGTCTCTATTATGCATTTCTTCTACTTTCTTCCCTTGCTTTGTGTGCTATATTGAGGGAGTGTGGCGACTTGAACTGTTGCACATCGGTGCAAAGTTCTATGTCGAAAACAGAGAGATAGATAGACTCCGAGTTTATGTCTACGAAGTGAAAATTGTCAGCGTCTTCATGATCCATCATTATTCTGCTCAAACTTAGAAAAGACAACTCTGGTATAAATTATTTATTTTTATTTGTTTTAATTTATACAGCATAAAACCAACAGACAATAATGATGGCGGTAGTATTAAACGTACCGTTTCATTCAATGAGTCCATATCAATTCCAACAGTTAGTCAATGTCAAAACCAACAAATCAAGACACAACGCACAGCATCGCAATCACGAAAACAAGCATCAAAGATGAGGAGTGCTGAAAAATCCCAGGAAGTATCTTCATCAATATTAAATAGTAATAATAATAATAATAATAATGTGACTAACGTTATTGCTAGTACTACTGCTACTAATATCAGTAGTAACAGTTCGCTGTTTCGTGTTGCCCAGTGGATTAATTCAATTACCCCGCTATATTCAACGGATCAATCTGTTCAATGTTTCAATGTAAACAATTATTCAGCATGTACTGCTAATACTATCTCTAATAAATGTGATCACAGTGTTAATAATTCAAAACATCATTGTTTAAATTCTGCAAATCAAACAATTCATTCATATTTAAATAATGCGGATAAAAATAATAATAAGAATAATAATAATAGTAATGATGTACATTATTCTGTTTATTCAACAACAATGGCGGGAGCAACACCAGCGACAACAGTTGTCATAACGACACCTTCAACATTGAATGATTCAGCTATTGGTTCATTAAAATGTACAAAACAGAATGGCTTATCAAAAAATCAGAGTTGTATGGCAAAAATATGTGAAAATAAGCAGACTTTTCCCTTGTACAGGTGAGACGTATTTTATTATTGAACTCATCATTATATTTATATTGTTATTGTAACAACAGAAGACAAGGGCCAGGCAACAGATTGTTTATTAAGCAAAATCAGCACGTATTTATACATATTTCATGTACATTATTACTGCTTATTCAAGCACACAAACACAGTCTTCTGATTGGTTTTTTCTTGCTCAAGGTTATTCTGTACTGCTTGTGACTGGTTTCTTCAGAAAGTTAAGCCATATATCTGCGAATCGTATTTGCCCACGTTAAATATGCTGTGATTGGTTGTTGAATTAGTCTTGTTCAAATTTTCTCACGGCCAATATTAGTGACCTAGACATTGACGTGAATTAATGTCTACCAATTGGCTAACAGCCTGCTCTCACCACATTATTATTATTATTATTTCCTTGGGTTCCGAGTGGAATATACGGCTGGCTTCAACAATACGTCTCCACTTCGCTGTATTCTCTGCTGTCCTCTTCAGCTGGCCAGTCACACGATTGACCATAATCTCTCAACTCCTCCTCGAGTTTGCACGCTCTCCTCCATGTCACCCACGCACTGACGACCCACTCCTCACTCCCCATTCAACTTCCACTCAAGTGATGGCCTGCACTAAGCATGATGTAATTCACCGGTCTCCTCAACGTATGCCTCATCAATCCACCTCCATATTCTCTTTGCATATTTGTTGAACGATCGGCTCTTGCTTGTAGGTTTGTTGCCAGCCAGCCAGCCAGCGATGTTGACCGCTGTTGATAAAGGTCTGCAGTAGCCTGTTGGAAATGCTATTCATGACACACTGGCCAAGTTTCTGACCCGCATAGAAAAAGTGACTGACTGACTTCACATTTGTGTTGAACAGAATTCGAATCTTATTGTTGTTTATGCTGACTGACTGACTGACTGAGTGAGTGCAGAAGATTTCCAAACTGGTTTCAGGTTAGTTGGTGAAGGCGTAACTTGCCCTGCCTTTCCAATCCTCGCTATGACGTCTTCATTCACATCGTTAGTTTGGCGACAAGTTACTGACTGATTTGTTACCCGCCAGAGCTAATTGTCACTTGTCTTAATAAAAACCAGAGAGTACTAGAAAACAGTAGTCACACTCATCGCCGCATTATAGGTGAGATGTAGGACCCTCAAGTTACATAGACAGCCCTCCGGAATGAAATCCAGTGGTCGACGAATTCGTGCCACTGTCAACTATAGTTGTTGTCCATGCTCATATTCAACTTGATAGACCCGCCCTTCCCCCAGCACTTTCTAGTTCTATCCCATCCTCAGTCTTTAGTGAGCTTTGGACTCATTTTTTAATTGTTAATCCCCTAACTGATAGGTCAGTTTGTGATCTAAGCTTGAAATCGACTGAAGTCTTTACAAACCAATCTTTTAAAGAGAGAGCCCGACCGATAGCTTCTACCTTGACGTGGTGGTCGGGCTTGCAAATCTCAATGACCCAACAGGCTGCACTGGCCAGAACTATTGTTCCTCCAGGTCCTACCATGTCAGGAAGGTTGTTACGATAGCGATTAGACTAAAAGCAGTTACCGGAATTGTGTAAGAATTCTTCTTTGTTACACTATGCTGGGAGTCTGAGGGCGAAGTCATACTCCTGGGGAACAGGGATGTAACAGCAGTGTAAGGTGTTTCCCTCAGATGACCAGCATGCCAGCGAGCCAGCCAGCTATGCTGTCTCTCCACTCTCGAGAAAGGGGGTTAGATTAGGTCGACCCCAACGATTGTACATCCCGACTTACTCCACCTACGGTGGTCCGTATTATTATTATTGTTATTATTATTATTGCTCCCCTGGGTTCCTAGTGGAACATAGGGCTTCAACCGCACGTCTCCATTTTCTTCTGTCTTCTGCTATACTTTTCGCCTGCATTCATGTGAATCCATATTCTTTCAACTCCTCTTCACACGATCTCCACCATGCCACCCTTGGACATCCCACACGCCGCTTCCCTTTCGGGTTCCACTCGAGGGCTTGGCGCGCGATGTCACCCAGCGGTCTCCTCAGCGAGTGTCCGATCCATCTCCACTTTCTCCTGCATATTTGTTGGGCGATTGGTTCTTGCTTTGTTTGTTCCCATAATTCCTTGTTGGTGATTCTTTCCGGCCATCTGATCTTCAGTATAGATCCAGCGAAGACAGTTGTTAATAAAGGTCTGCAAACTTTTGGAAATATTCTTTGTGACTCGCCCGCCAAGTTTCTGATCCGTATAGAAGAACTGACTTTACGTTTGTATTGAAAATCCGAATTTTGTTGTTGTTGGCTGAGTGACGAAGATTTCCAGATTGATTTCAGTTTGATGAATGTGTTTCTCGCCTTCCCGATTCTCACTCGATTTGACATCCTCGTCCGCTCCTCCTGTAGTTCAGACAATGCTCGATGCGTGGTGCTAGCAACTCCACCCTGTAAAACAACCAAATCGCTACAGAAACTTCAACGAATAAATATATTAAAAATTCTAAAACGGTGGTCCGTAACCGGCGGTAAATTTTCTAATGCGGAACCAATCCCAGAAACCAATTCATACAGGCCGTGTGTAACCGGCCTCAAGCAGTAGTCCACTGAGCTCTGCGGTCACGCAACACTAACCCTCATTCTGTTTCAGGTACCCGAAGAGTCAATCAACTTCCACGGTGTGGGCAATCGGGAAGTAACAACCACCCACACACTTCTAAGAGCACACGAAGCCTTCCTGAAAGAGAGAGACAGAGAGATAGTCTGAGACAGGACAGGTTACACAGATTCTCTCTCTGAAAAGGAGTAAACTTAGAATGATATTAACAGTTTCTTAATCTCCAGATTATTCTCTGACTATTCATATCTAATCTATTATTAATATTATTTAACAGAAAATAGGTTTCTTTTCAATGATCTCTCATATGAACTGAAACTAATTACAGGTTACCAATATTATATATATATAAATATATGTAAAATTTCTCCTACTCTTACTACGCTAAGGATGGTGAAAATAATCCACCCAGACATTCACTAATCAGAATCCCAAAACGAGAGATCCTGTGGATAATCAGATGAAAAATGATCTTTAAGCATTAGTTTTTTTCTAACATATATTTGTGCGTTGAAGTTTCTATAGCGATTTGGTTAAGTTTTGGAGGGGCGGGGGTGGAGTTGCTAGCATCACGCTCCAACCCTCCCTCCTTATCCAGGCTTGGGACCGGCTAGTAATCTAGGCGAGGTTAAACAACAAGAAGACAGAGATATCCTGGATCGACCGATGTGAAGACCTGGATTTCGCGCGTAGATGATTTATGCTTGATGTCACACAAAATCGAAGACTTACAAGCGAAAACCGACCGAAAAACTGGTCGGAGAAGCAGCCGGCGAAGACAGGACTCCAGGTGAACATAGGTGAATAAGACGGAGGTTATGAAAAGAACCAACCAACTAACAACAACAACAACAACAGTGCCAACGTCCAGCACCAATCACCATCAACGGGAGAGATTTGATGAAAGAGGTTACTTCATTCATTCACTTATCTAGGGAGCATTGTCTCAACTACAGACAGTCGGAACGGACGAGGATGTCAAAGCGAGCGAGAATCGGGAAGGCGGGCGAGAAAAACACACATTCATCAACAAACTGAAACCACTCTGGAAATCTTCTTCATTTCTCAGCCAGCATCAACAACAAAATTCGGTAGGATTTTTAATATAAACAACTTCAAGTCAGTCAGCTCTTCTATACGGATCGAATCAGTAACTTGTCGGGCGGGTCACAAAGAATATTTCCACCAACAGCCTGTTGCAGACCTACCTTTATCAACCAACAACTGTCTTCTCTGGCTCTATACTTAAGATCAGATGGCCGGGCGGGCCGAAAAGAATCACCAACTATGGGAAACTATGGGAACAAAGAAACAAACAAACAAGACGAGAACCAACCAATCGCCAACCAACAAATATGCAGGAGAAAGTGGATGGAGATGGATTGGACACTCGATGAAGAGCCCATTGGTTGGCATCGCGCGTCAGGCCATTGGTTGAGTGGAACCAGGCCGAAAGGGAAGCACGCGGTGAGTGCGTTGTCAGTGCAAGGTTGACATGGAGGAGATCGTGTGAAGAGGAAGAGGAGTTGAAAGAGTATGGAGTAACATGGATGCAGGTGAAAAGTACAGCAGAAGGGAGACAGAAGTGGCAAGTGGAGACGTGCAGTTGAAGCCCTCTCTATGTTCCACTAGGAACCCAAGGGAACAATAATAATAAAAAACATTAGTTTTTTAGAGATTTTGTTTGATTGGTTGGGAGATTCCATCATGAGTTGACATCACCTAGAGAACCATTGGAAAACAAGCTGGGAGTACTGGACAGCTGTTTCGTCCCAGTGCTCGAAACTCTTTTGCAGTACGCATCCCCCACAGCGGTTTGAAACCAGGACCTTCTAGTAAGAAGGTGAACTAGCTCGTAGACCACTAAGCCACTGGGTCCCGATCCAATGACCAGACCATGAATTCTGACTTCTGCCAATTCACGAACTCTCCTTGTGACCAGAAGGTTCTGAGTTTGAACCCCACTGGGATAGGTGTCACTGTCTGAAAAGTTTCAAACTAGGACGAAACAGCAGTCAAGTACTCCCAGTGCTGGTTTTTCAATGGTTCTCCAAGTGATGTCAGCTCATCATGAAATCCTGTGACCAAAAATTGCCTAACTGGTTGACATTACGCCTCTTATGTAATCTCCAGCTATCCATCAAAGGAAGACCGTATTGTTCAGCAGTCAGCTGTGAGAAATAACCATTCAAAGTGCAGCGTCTGAAATGGCTAACTATCCATGATCATAAATGTCTGTGCTTTATCTCCCTTGTTATGTGGTATACAGATGGAGAGTAATAATGATATTAGGTGTAAGGTACTAGGTAAGGAAGAGAAGCTATATCGATGGAGTCGGTGAACGCACGTGGTGTAGATGCGAAGCCATCAGTTCCGTTGTTGGACAATGTTAGCTGAAATAGGGTTTGAATAAGGAAGGAGTTAAGAGTGGTCAAACTAGAAACTCTTATCAATCCAATTGGTTTGGTTAGAATCCTCACCTCACCTCATAACACACCCAATTTTACATATTAGACAATGAAATATTTTACAATATAGTTGCAAACTACTCGCAAGTAGAGTAACTTTTTAAATTGAATATTTGTACTGTCTTTTGAGTTTGACCGCGGAGTGATAACCGGTAGAGAACCATTGAAAACTAAAAAAGTGGGTTACTGGACAGCTGTTTCATCATCCTAGTTTGGGAACAATCGACAGTATGCACTCGAAAAAACGAAATCCTAACAGATCAACTCTCGAAAACTAAAACAATTAGTCCCTCTGATAAATTTGAATAAGGCATTAAGAAGACAAATTTCGCCGAGAGATGATATCGTCATTTCGTAGTTTCTTTACAACCGCTTCACAACCAGCAACATGGTTAACAATAATAAAATAAAGTTCATGACAAGTACTCAGTTATTTTTCTATAGTTTGGTTTTTTAAGGGTTAGTTATGTGGATGGATGTCCCACCAACGATAATGGTTGGGGTCGCGCTAAATCATGAATTAGTAGAAGTTAGAATTCAAGAGCCAATGAATCGGGTCCCAGTGGCTGAATGATATACGACCTAGCTTGCCTTGTAACTGCAAGGTCCTGGGTTCGAATCCCATAGTGTGGGTGCGTACTGCCGATGATTCCCAGACTAGGATGAAACAGCTGTCTACTACTCCAGTGCCGGGTTTCAATGCTGGTTCTCTAACTGATATATCAATCCGTGGAGAAATTTGACGAACAAATCAAATCTTGAAAATTTATATTATCAATAAAATTCTCACTTTGTATATTATTTCTCACTTTTGCGAATTCATTCTCAATTAACACAACTGAAGGTGAAGGTGATAATCTGAAAACCTTTTCCTTTGAAGATAGTAAAATTTGAGATTTTAGCTTGGCACTAGAAGTGGTAATGAGGAATAAGCCGGTGTCAACTGATCCGTCTCTCTGAGCTAAGTCAAAGCGAGTACATGGTTGAGAAGTTCAGCTTCAAACACTTGAAACGACCGAATGTCCGGAGCTGACCCGGCTAAATGACAAGGATTACTGACTGGTTCATGTGAATGGTGGTGTGTACTATTACTACTACAATCAGTAGTATATAATTTTAGACAAATATATATATGCTTGTTAACTTTATAGAATATATATTACTTAAAAATATGTGTTGATTTTTCAAATTTATTTTGTTTTTCTATCCCGTCTTCTTTTTTTTGTGTCAACAGCTCATCTCCAGTTGTCCCACCACCGTCTCTTTTATCAAGTCACAATGATACAACCCCCCTGGGATATCCATTCTATTCAATGACATCTGATGGTATCTGTCAAATTCCACAATCTCACTCGACACCGGTATTTATTTCGCCTCAAGAGACAGCCATCTCGCCTAGTAATCATAACAATAATTGTAATAATAATAATAATAATAACAATAATTCTCACCCACCGTACACTAACCAACCAACATCACCTCCATCAGCCAATGTATCAGATCTTTACACGCATCAATTGACTACAGATAATAATCTTGTCGGTACGAGGAATTATGAAGCAGGTGAAAGGTTGGATGGCCTGAGAAATCAGATGGCATTGGCTAATCCTCATAACAGTCCGGCTTATTACCCATATTATCAATATTATTATTATCACTATCAGAATCAACAGTGTGATCCCGATCAAATATGCTTTAATAATAATAATAATAATTCAACGGACGAGATGACACCGAAACAAGCCTTTTATCCGCCTACATCACTATGTCAACCGGATCAGTTAACACAGATCAAGTTGGCTCACAATCTCAATATTGGACAGATACATGAGAATTGTAATCCTAACGAGCCTAACGCTTACCATAACAATAATGAAGAAGAAGAAGAACACGGTGGGGAGGCGATGGATAGACCTTCAGAAAAGTTAAAAATGAAACTGTCCTTGAAATTTTTAACCCTACCATTATTTCGTAATTTTCGTCTACGTAGAAAAGAGAAGAAAAGAAATTCAGGGAAGGCGAATAGAACTACTGATAAGGAGGATAATAAAAGTAGTATTAGTGTGACAAGAAATGGTGATGTTGAGCAAGTAGAAGAAGACGACGACAGAAGTGTAAAACCTTCGCCAATTTTACATTCTTTAAGTCTACCAGTCAAATTAACAACATTCGGTTATCAGCCTGTAGAGGGTAATAATAATAATAATAATACTGCGAAACCGAACAACTTATCATGTACTGATAATTGCTGCCACTGTGAGCATTCTCAGTATCTTCGTGATCATCAGCAACGTCAACAGCGTCAACTTCCTTCTCCGCCTTCAATTCCTGCCCCGCCTACACCAACCCTTGGCCCTCATTCTCAGACGTCATTTTCACCACTTCATGGATATCGACATCATTCTAGTATTTCTTCTCGTCTCCCTCCTAATCATCATCATCACCATCATCATCATCAAACGTCCAGACAGTTTAATTCGCATTTATGGAGTCAACACTGCACTGAGAATGTTGAAACACCGATAATCAATTATTGTAATAAACATTTGCCGCATAGTTATTCATTACAAAATAATGGATCTTTTCTGAACCAGAGAAATGATGTAAATTTCAGTTTGTCGAATAGTCCATCTACAGGATTTAATGCCGCCAGGTAAGAGAGAGAGAGAGAAAGTGATTAATATACTTTCAATAAAAATATGACGAATGTATAAATTTTAAAGTATTGGTTTTGCAGGAATTTTTCTTTGATAGGTTGGAGGATTTCATTATGAGTTGAGATAACTGAGAGTACTGGACGACTGTTTCGTCCTAGTTTGGGACTCTTCGTCAGTACTCATCCACCGGGGTTCGAACCCAGGGTCTTCTGGTTACAAGGCGAGCTCACATACCATTAAGCCACTGCGAGCCAACCCTATCCAATCGCCATCCCACGAATTCTAACTTCTGCCAATTCATGAAATAGCGTGACCACTTAGCAATGCCTTCGGCCTGAAGTACCCTACTGGTCACGGCTTGCCACTAGAACCCCAGGTTGACAGCCTGAATAGGGCCAGTCGTTAGTGAGCATCAGATCACTTTTGAAGTATTGGTTTGTAAGGATTTTCTTTGATTGGTTCGAGGATTTCCTCACTGAGCTGATGTTTCTGAGTGGTCGCGCTATGTCGTGAATTGGCAGAAGTTAAATTTCGTGGTCAGGCCAATGGATCGGGTCCCAGTGGCTTAATGGTCTATTAGCTAGCTTACCCTGTAACCGGAAGGTCGTGCGTCCGAACCCTGACAGTGAGTACCTACTGCCAATGATTCCCAAATCGGGCTGTCGAAACAACTGGCTGTCCAGTACTCCCTGGTTGGTTTTCAATGGTAGTTCTCTAACCGATATCAATCCATGATCAACTCGTGAAAACACTAATGTTTTTATGTCATTGGTATCAAACTACTTATATCAGTTAATTAGTCAGTAGTATATGGCGTCATGCATTTAAGATTGCTCTCTTGACTGTCATTTAGGGTAGTAGCGATCGGATTATGCATATATATTGGGAGTGTATATAATTTTCATATGATAATTTTGATTCTAACATTTATTCCCCTCAATGCATTTGAACAAAGCAAGAACTACAGTTTTTGCAGAATAAAGTGGTACCATCATTGTTTATTTCGTTGCCTACTCGTCAGCTGTTTACAGGCCAAAGACATTATTAAATATATCTACAAAAACAAATTCAACATACTTGCACAGAGTTCAGTTTAAACGAAGATCAATCGATCAGTATATACATACAGTAATAATATATATATAATATTAAACACTATTCCGAACAACAATAATAATCGTGCACAATGGAAACTTTTCAGCATTTCGCATTCGGATGAAAGAGAGATGAAAAATATCCAGTTACCAGACAGGGCAAAGAAAGACTGATAACCGCTTCTTTCTGGACTCATAAATCAGTTTTGAGGGGTTTGATGGAAACGGCTTCAGCAAACTTGAGGAGAATTGAGCTCTTTTGCCTATTGATAATTTTGAACGACTTTTCGACGTCCACCTCATGACCTGTGTCGAGGAGATGCCTGGTAATGGCACTGTTTAAAGCATTTGTTCCCTTTAGACGTAAGCTTTTTGGTACATGTTAGGAAAATCGTTTAAAATTTTTAAAAATGAACTCTGTGCAAGTATGTTAAAATTGTTTTTGTAGATATATTTAATAATACCTTTGACCTGAAGAGAAGGCAACGAAATAACCGATGATGATACCACTTTATTCTGCTAAAACTCTCCAGTTCTGGCTTTATTCAAAATTTGATTCTATGCTAGATACTACTTATTATTTAATCTACATACACGCACATGAACGAACGCACGCACGCACACAAACACACATACATGTCAGCGTGTTATGATTGGCTGGTTCATTTGTATACACTAACAATACCGCAGTACTTTGTATTTACCTTAAATCTACTTACATTTTTTGTCTTATCTATAGTGGGAAATTATCCGCTTCAGTGTGTCGATCAACCCGACGTAGTATGCATATAACTGGAAGTGGAGGAGGCGGTGGCTGTGGGGGAGGACCATCTAGTAGTGGTTATGAAAGTATGCGTACCGGTGCTAGTGAATTATCCCTTTCACATCAAGATTCAGCTAGTGATTGTTCTGGTCAGTGTAAAGATATCCTCCTGTCAAGACGTTCATCATTGGATGGATATCGTCAAAGATGCAATAGTCATCATCACCAACATCACCAGCATCAACATCATTCTCATCATCTTCATGTTCAGTCGCATTCTTCTTCTCATCAGTCACAACAATATGATCATCGTTCCAGTTATCAGCAAAACAATCAACAACATTTAATGATAAATAATCAAAGTTAAATATGTGAGTAATTTTCATTTTAAAAAATACATTTATGATTATCTCAAATAGACTTGATTGCCATTATTATTTATTATTATTATTATTGTTCCCTTGGGTTCCTAGTGGAACATACGGCTTCAACTGCACGTCTCCCTCCACTTGCCACTTCTGTCTCCCTTCTGCTGTACTTTTCACCTGCATCCATGTTACTCCATACTCTTTCAACTCCTCTTCCTCTTCACACGATCTCCTCCATGTCACCCTTGCACTGATAACGCACTCACCGCGTGCTTCCCTTTCGGCCTGGTTCCACTCGAGCAATGGCCTGACGCGCGATGCCAACCAATGGGCTCTTCATCGAGTGTCCAATCCATCTCCATCCACTTTCTCCAACTGCATATTTGTTGGTTGGCGATTGGTTGGTTCTCGTCTTGTTTTGTTTGTTTGTTTGTTCCCATAGTTTCCCATAGTTGGTGATTGTTTCCGGCCCGCCCGGCCATCTGATCTTCAGTATAGAGCCAGAGAAGACAGTTGTTGGTTGATAAAGGTAACGTCTGCAACAGGCTGTTGGAAATATTCTTTGTGACCCGCCCGACAAGTTACTGAGCCGTATAGAAGAGCTGACTGACTTGAAGTTGTTTATATTAAAAATCCGACTGGATTTTGTTGTTGATGCTGGCTGGCTGAGTGACGAAGATTTCCAGATTGGTTTCAGGTTGTTGAATGTGTGTTTTTCTCGCCCGCCTTCCCGATTCTCGCTCGATTTGACATCCTCGTCCGTTCCGACTCTCTGTAGTTGAGACAATGCTCCCTAGATAAGTGAGTGAATGAAGTGACCTCTTTCAAGTCCCTCGCTTTGTGATGGTGATTGGCGCTGGACGTTGGCACTGTTGTTGTTGTTAGTTGGTTGGTTCTTTTCATAACCTCCATCTTGTCTATGTTCACACGGAGTCTTGTCTTCGCCGGCTGCTTCTCCGACCAGTTTGTCGGTCGGTTTTCGCTTGTAAGTCTTCGATTTTGTGTGACATCAAGCATAAATCATCTACGCGCGAAATCCAGGTCTTCTAGGTTCTTCACATCTTTCTGTCCAGGATATCCCTGTCTTCTAGTTTTCCACTCACTGCCGGACGCATAATCCAGTCAGTTCACCACAATTAGGAATATCATTGGTGATAATAGGCACTCTTGTCTGATTCATGTGTTTACTCCAAACGCATCGCTGAGTTTCCCGTTGTGGATCACTTGACATGTGCCGCCGTTGTCGTACAGCTGTTGAATAAGGTTGGTGAATATTTGGGCGCTGCACGCCGTAGTACTCGAGTAGTTTCCAAATAACTTCTTATCGGTCAACGCTGTTGAAGGCCTTCTCAAAGTCTACAAAGTCTAGGTACATGTTTGATTGCCGTTCCATGCTTTGTTCTGGGATGATGATGCGTAGAGTTGCAATTTGGTCAGAACATGATTTGCCTTCCCCGAATCCAGTAAGGAAGCATGGTTTCAACCACAGGTGGACGGTACTGAGGAAGATGTCAGTGGCGGTCAGCCAGCCACCCAGAATCGGATAGGCAGGGCAAGTTACGCCTTCACCAACCAACCTGGAACCAGTTTCGTAATCTTCTGCACTAACTCAGTCAGCCAGCACAAACAACAAGATTCTGATTGTTTTCAACACAAATGTGGAGTCTGGCAGTCAGTCTCTTCTTCTTCTATACAATTCAGAAAATTGATCGATGGAGTGTCACGAGAAGGAATCCCAACAGGCTACTGCAGACTGTTTTTAACGGCTGCCCACTTCTTCACTGGTTCTCTACTGAAAATCGAATACTATCAGTCAGGTTTGTAATGTGGCCACTATTCTAGGTGGCTCGCTATCATGGTGCACATTGATTTTGATGATATATTAGATGGTTGGAGACAATCGACCACAGGAAGCTTTGCCTGTATCTAGGTTTCGTGCTACCTAGAATAATGGCCACATTGCAAACCTGACTGGCTGATAGAATACAGTCTGCGCCGAAGAAAGGACTAGACACATCATACTAGTTACTAACTCGTGTCCAATCAAAGTTTCATGTTTGATCACATATTGATATTAGTTAGAGAACCACTCCACTGGAAAACACCAAGGATTACTAGATAGTTGTTGTTTCGTCCCGGTTTAGGACTCATGATCAGTACGCATTCACCTCCAGATTTTGAAACCACAACATCCAGGTTATTCAGCCACAATGACCTGAATTACTGGCCAGCCCATGATTTTAACGCAAATCCCTACAGCACAGACTCTTGAAAATCAACCTGATGCTCGCTCCACTGAGTGACTGGCTGCAGGATGCGGTTGCCTGCAGTTCTAGTGAGAAATCGTCACCTGAAGAGGGATTCACCTGGTTGGGAATGAGGACAAATACTAACCACCGATGATATTCATTTGTTCGTGCCAGTTGCGCTAAATGCATTACGAATTGGTAGAAGTTAGAATTAACGGGTTAGCTATTGAATTCGGGTCCCAGTGGCTTAATGATCAACCAGCTCGCCTTGTATCTAGAAGGTCATGGGTCTGAAACCTGGTCGCGGTGGGTGCGTACAGTCAATGAGATTCAAGCTAGAACAAAGCAAGTATTCATTACTCCCTAGTGCTTTACAGTGATTCACTATCTGATATCGATCCGTGATCAAACTTGGAATCATAACGGATAGCGATATCGTTATTTATAAGACATGAATGATACTATTTATGTCCAAACCAAGTTCACTTTTAACGCTTTGAAAAAATTTGGGCATTGGGTATATGATATTCATTATAATAGAGGTTTTTATATTTCCCAATGAATGAAAAACAAAACGATATTGCTGTTTTTACTGACGTTTCGCTATTTAATGCTGCTTCTAATAGCTTTATCAAAGTGGCATTATTAAACCGGAATTTACAAAATCTCAGCCTATATATAACAAAGAGTTAAGAGGTGAGAAAATAGACAAGTTAGGTCAAGTTAAAAGGACATATTGAAAGTCAAAATAACAATGAAGATCACTAAACCAAATAACAGAGGTAATAGTACATCTGCTATGCTATCAAAACAAAGTTTACTAATATGATCATCGTTCGTCAGTCTGGGGTCATTTTTCGTTGTCGAATTGGTCAATTGATAAAGACAACAAAATCAAGTGTAGATTGTTTGATTTGATCAGTGTGTAAAATTATAAAACAGTGTGTGCTTATATAATGATATTGCTTATCACATTCATGTTGATTTCATGGAGGAGACAGGGTGTTGTAACCAGGTGAAATTCTGTTTTAGTCCATCATTCCTATTCAGACAATTTGGATTCTACTTGATATGAAGTGCTTCTGATGCCGTCAGACGTTCTTTGTGGTTTCTGAAGTTTTTCTGGATTATTTCAATATTGTCAGAATAAATTTTGTGGCCTAATTCTATAGCGTGTAGACAAGCTATGGCTGATGATTTTTCAAGTTTTCCTAGTTCAACCGGATTTATTTCTCGGTGGTCGAACAGATGCTATACGGTGTTCATTTCTACATCGGACAAACATCTCGAGAAATCGAAATCAGAAGAAATGAACACCGTAAATCATGTGTTTCGACACAGTCTACTTTTATAATTTTACACACTTATCAAATCCAACAGTCTACACTTGGTTTTGTTTTGTTGTCTTTACCAATTGGCCAATTTGACAACGCGAAAATTCCCCTATGCTTATGAACGATGATTAAGTTGTCATACAATATAAGCTGAGATTTTGTAAATTCCGGTTTAATACTACCACTTTGATAAAGCTATTAGCAGCAGCATTAAATAGCGAAACGTCAGCGAACACAACAATATCGGTTAGGGAAATACAAGAAAACCTTTATTATAATGAATGATACTAGTTGAAATGAGGGACATTTAAAAGTCTCGAATTAGAAGTCGACCATCTGCTGCCAGTTTGAAGAATCTCCTGGAAATATTTACGTACCAATTTTGAGGCACTGAAAGATATACCTATTACGTAATAGATAGTTATTTCTTTTTATTTACTTTTTTATATTACTAAACTATTTTTTCGTCTATTTTTCTTTCCAGATGAGTAATAATCATGTTTTCCTAACAATTGTATATTTTAAAAGTCAAACTCTTATCAGCACCACATTGATGTACTCGCATCCCTATTGGTTTACCTCAGCAGTGAGAAGGATAGACAGCCAGAGACAGACAGATGGATCGATAGATGGATAGATAGACAGGCAGACAGACGAATCAAGAGACGGATAGTCAGATAGACACATACACACACGAACGCACACACCTGCCTACACACACACACACACACAAATATACGGTTTTTAAAATCATCCAATCTGTTTTAATCTTCAGACTATTATTAATATTATTATTATCATTATTATTTTTGATTTGTACACACACACACACACATTAAATTATTGTCAAGGGATACATTTAAGCAAAATGCATACACAGACACGCACATACATACACACTAACCTATTAACACTTGAATAAGTGTAAGGACAATATGATCGGGAAAGGAGAAGCGGGAAAAACACATGAAGGACCAAACAAATAAATAAAGAAATTACCTTAAAAAAATTTGTTAATTTAAAGGTTTATTTATATATATAAATATATAATTGTTCAAATGCATATAATATACATAGAAAAAAATATTATTGTTTATACCCTTCTCTCTGTCTTCTTTTCAATTTCTAAGTTTTGTTTAAAAGATGCGTCATTTCTTGATCCGAAATGGAAATCAGTTGAATAAATCCTTGGGGAAAAACTATTAAAAATTAAATCTGAATAAGGCATTAAGAAGATAAATTTCGCCACGAGGTAATATCGTCATTTCGTAGTTTCTTTACAACTGCTTCACAACGAATATGGTTAACAATAATAAAATGAAATAAAGATCATGACAATTACTCAGTTAAATAAAACAGAACAAAAGTATATACTAATGACCAATCATCACATTTAAATAGGTCAAGTAGTCCATGTTAGGGGAAGATTGAAGTTTATTGTGTTCTTTGTACACACAGTTTAGGCTGTATGTGATTAATCCCCTTAAAGGACTACTTAAAGAAGGGCTAATAGACAACAGCGCTTACAACAACCTTAAACCAAGGGGTTAGCGTGTGCCGTTCATGTATGGTCAACCCAAAGTCCAAAAAAGTCATGTACCAATGAGACCTGTAATATCAATGGTGAAATCATCATGTCATAAACTGGTCAGATGGTTGGCCCAAAAGCTGGAACCTATTCAAAAGAAGCTGGCAACTCACAGTATCAGAGATACCTTCCAGTTTTCACAAGAATTAGATCAACTCGATATTTCAGATAGACTTCTCGTGTGTCATACGATGTTTGTTCACTGTTTACCAGCATACCCATCGCAGAAACGGTAAAAATCATATGCCAACAGTCTGAACTGCTTCCCCTTCCGGAAAATGAGCTACGAAAATTGCTACTTCTGTGTACAAAGAATATTCAATTCCGATTCAACAATAATCAGCTGTACCGGCAGATTGACGGGGTGGCTATGGGTTCACCTCTGGGTCCTGTTTTTGCTGACATATTCATGGCTCATCTTGAACAGACTCGAATGAAAGAAGAAATAGAAAGAACAACCTATTACTGCAGATATGTCGACGACACGTTTGTGGTCTGCAATGATACAGAACACGCATCCGCAATGTTTGAGAAACTCAATGCGGCTCATCCCAACATTGCATTCACAATTGACTACGAAAGAAACAACCAGTTCTATTTCCTTGACGTCAACATAAAAAGAAGAAACGATGGGACGACTCAAATATCTGTCTACAGGAAAAAAAACCTGGACTGGTCAATACTTAAATTATCACAGCTTTTGCCCAACCAGCTACAAACGAAGTCTACTAAAAACGCTCTTCAGCAGAGCCAAAGAAATATGCTCGGAAGATACTATTTGAAGAAGAACTCGCCGTCATCGAAAAGAACCTCATCGAGAATGGATACCCCGGAAAGTTCATATTAAAGTATAGAGATGAAGAAGCACACAAACCGAAACCTGAAACCATTGAAAAGAAACCAGTTTTCATCTACCTAACCTACAAAGGGGAAGACGTATCCACAAGAATACAAAGAAGAATCACAGGTGCATTAAAAAGAACATTTCCCATCGCCAGATTGATCCTATTTCACAACACTGTGTACTCGTTAACCCAGTCAAAAGTAGATGAGTACCCTACTCACCTCAACTCCAACTGCATTTACCAATTCACGTGCACTTGTGGAAGTAAGTACATAGGAAGGACTGAGAGGAGAGCATCTACTAGATTTTCTGAGCACATTCCTAAGAGTCTCCGTACAAAAGGAAGAAAAGTGTTATCGAGTGCAATCGCCAGACATTTAATTGACACAGGACACACAGTAGAAATTAACCAAGCCTTCAAAATAATCAATACGCAAAGAAACCCATGGCAACTTCGTTTCGCAGAAGCCATTGCTATCAAGAGACTTCGACCAGACCTCTGTATACAGAAAGATAGTGTGACTAAACTTCCACTGCCCTGGTAACCCTAATCCCACTTTATTTTATTTTGTTTTGCTTTTTTGTCAGTATGCCTGTGTGTTTGTCTTGTTAAGAAACATTCTATTCAATTTTGACCTTCAGGTTTCTAAATCTACTTAATTGTCTGTTTAAGTTAAAAAAAAGTGTTACTTCACTATTCACCCCCACTCTCTTAAACTCTCCACTACAAAATGTGTAAATTCACTCTGTTCTCTGACCCTGACCCTGTAATATGCCTCTAACCAATTCGTGTTTTCCAATAGAAATCTGAACTCTAACCCCTCTTATCTAATTCCACTGTCTGTCTGGATTCAACATAGGACTTGGCACCGAAGTGCACCAGTTTGAGTAGCCATGTTCCAAATAGCACACAAAGGCAGACAAGAAGATGAGTGAAGAGAATCAATAGAATTTGACAAGTATAAGAGTGAAACAGAATGGGTAATGGTAGAAAGGAATATGAAAGATTACAGAGACTGAATACATCTGCGCTGGCCATTGACAACGATTTTGAGCCATGTCACCTGTTGTCTCCAGCTATTGATTCCTAGAGTCCCGGGGGCCCCAACCCGGAAGTCTGAATCTCCCTACCTGACTGACTCAGTTTAACTGTCAAGGATTTCATGGATTGATGAGGCCATGTTTTTGTTTGACCACCACTTACTCTTTTCCAACCTGCACCTATATCAGCTAGTAATGCCCGTCGTCGGGGGAGGCGATGGTTAGGCATGCGCACCACCTGACCTAGCCATCTCAATCTATGTAACTTTATAGCCTCGTCGATTGATTTTCCCTCTTTGCCCAACACTCTACGCCTAACGTCAACATTACTTACCTTATTAAACCACCTAACGTGAGAAAGAGATCGTAGACATCTATGATCAAAAACAGTCAACCTTTTCATGTCTTCAACGCGTATTGGCCATGTTTCAGAGTCATAGAGAAGGGCAGAGCGGACTGATGAGCAGTACACACGTCCCTTGGTTGATAGCCGGATGTCACGCCTACGCCAGAGATGGTGTAAGTCAGCGAAAGCAGCTCGAGGTTTTTGGATCGGTGCTGAGATTTCGTCGTCAATCAATCCGTTGGTGCTGATACAACTTCCCAAACAAATAGGTGAAGTGGTGGTGAACATGTTCTATCACTTCACTCCCTATCACTAAGCTAGGAGTTGACGTAGTCCAGTCCTGTAGCCGCAGCATCTTACACTTTGCAGGGCCGAATCGCATGCCAAACATACAACGATTGCCAGCCGGTCAAGGTGTTCAGAAGACTCTGCATTTTGTCACCATCCTCCCCTAACAGGACTATGTTATCTGCATATTCTAAGTCCATAAGATTATTCCCTGGTAACAAGTCGATTCCTAAGTCATTACGTTCAGTTAAGGATACTTCCATCAGCATATCTATGATGAAGTTAAACAGAAATGGGGAAAGTGGACATCCCTGTCGGACACCACTGGTTGTTATCAATTCAGATGACAATTCCCCATAAGCCCTTACACGACTCCGTGAGTTTGAATAGATTGCCTTGATTAGTGCAATGTATTTTCTTGGATTTCCCTTCACAGTCAAACATTGCCATAGTAGTACCTTTCGATCCACGGAGTCGAAGGCCGCCTTCAAGTCAAGAAATATGACAATTGTTGGACGCCGAAAAGTGTGTCTATGTTCAAGAATCTGTCGAAGAGTGAAGATATGATCTATGCACCCTCTACCTGATCTAAAGTCTGCTTGATTCTAATTCCACTATGTATAACTAGTTTGTTTTTCTGACACTGAATAATCTGTCTACCTACATCTAATCCTGGAATTATGTTCCTTATACCTTCTATCTTTAACTCCGAGTAATTATGGAAAAGTATGTTCCAAAACTTTATTTTGAAACTTATGATTCGATTTTGTTTATGATGTATGCAGTTGATGAGTATCCACGAAATAAAACGAGCTCGTGTTATCTTGCAAACATGTTGGTTCTTTCTCTCTTCAAATCTCCATAGTATTTCCCTCACATTCAATAACCAACCTTGAATTGGAGTTATGTGATGTGATAATTGTGAAGCAGGCATTAATTAATATTGATTCTGTGACCTGACATTAATAAGTGTTTTGCAATGGATGATGCTAATGGATTTCTATTCAGATTAATCGCATTGGGATATTCGATATGATTTAGTAGCCATTTTGGAGCATGTTCTTTTCGACGACATTGGAATATTCTGTTGGTTCTAACTGTATAGGTGTCACCGCAACTGCAGGTGAACGTGTAGACACAGTTTGAAGTAGAATCCACAGAATTTCGTCCTTTAATCGTAGTAGGTACAGGGATCGAAAATCTTCGGTATGTGAGAAAAAGAGATGTGGCGGCATAGAATGTGCGTTTGATGGCTGACCGAAGTCTTTGAGCTGTCAATTGCATAATCTGGTCGCCCTTGAATGGTAGATTAATAAAGATGGCTTTCTTTGGTACAGAAGCTGTCTTTTCGAGATGTGGTCTATCCTTACTGTAACAATCGATAAAGTTTTCTGGATGACCATTAACTAGTACAACTGAATGTACATGTCGAAACTCATTCATCACTGTGTCACTCGTGCATATTTTTCGGGCCCTTGAGAACAAACATTTCACCAGGGAACGTTTATACTGGATAGGAACAAAACTGGTAAAATGAAGATATTGTCCACTCCATGTCTGTTTACGAAAAATAGAGCGCTGAATCGTTCCATCATTTCTCCTAATCATAGTAATATCCAGGAAACCGAGTTTGTTATTCGATTTGAGTTTGGAAATCACTTGGATACTTAGATGAATATGATTAATCTAATGTTCACTAGTGCTTGATTACAGACAGAATGAAGTTATATGGATTTCTGGTAAGAAATCCTGACTGGCATTGGGGTCCATGAAGTCGAGTGTGATATTGTTTGGCGGTCGTGCTACTTACCGTTGATTGTCAAAAATTAGAATTCATATGCTGGTCAACCGGTTTCGGGTTAATCCTTCTTTGAATAGGTTGTTGGGTACATAGTGCTGCAGAGTGTGAAAGCGGGACAAAACACCTGTGTAGTACTCGCTAGTTTTGGACGATGGTTCTCTAGCCAATGTGTGTCTGTTAGTTGACTAATTTTATTAGATCGACACATTCAATCTTTGTTTATACGTCACCTTGATGTATAGAAGGTTTCAATGATGTCTAATGATTAACATAGTG